CTCTTCTTCCCCAAAGGTGACCTTTAACCTGACTTCTAATGTCATAGCTTAGCTTTGCCTGCTTTTTGGACTTTATATAATGGAATGATACAATCTGTATTATTATTTTTGAGATGGAGTCTCGCTGTGTTGCCCAGGCTGGAGTGCAATGGCATGATCTCGCCTCACTGAAACCTTTGCCTCCTGGGTTCAAGCAAGTCTCCTGCCTCAGTTTCCCAAGTAGCTGGAACTACAGATGTGTGCCACCATGCCCAGGTAATTTTTGTATTTTTAGTAGAGATAGGGTTTCACTATATGTTGGCCTGGCTGATCTCAAACTCCTGACCTCAGGTAGTCCACCCACCTCGGCCACCCAAAGTGTTGGAATTACAGGCGTGAGCCACCATACCCGGCTATTATTATTATTTTGGGACAGGGTCTTGCTGTGTCTCCCAGGCTGGAGGGCAATGATGCAATCTTGGCTTACGGCAGTCTCAACCTCCCAGGCTCAAGCAATCCTCCCACCCCAGCCTCCCGAGTATCTGGGACTATAGGTGCAAACCACCATGTCCAGTTAATTTATTTTGTATCTTTTGTAGAGACAGGGTTTTACCACACACTCAAGTGAACTACCCACCTCATCCTCCCAAAGTGCTGGGATTACAAGTGTGAGCCACTGCACCCAGCCTATGTCTGGCTTCTTTCACTCAACATTACGTTTGCAAGATTCATTCACGTATTCGCATGTAGAAGTAGTTCATTTGTTTTTATTATTGCATAGTATTCAATTTCATGAATATGATACACATTTTTCATTCTACCATTGATGAACATTTGAGTTGTTTGAATTTGGGGGCCATTATTCATAATGCTGCTGTGAGTATTCTTGTATCCATATGTATGTATATCACTGTTGGGAATGAAATGGTTGGGTCAAAGCGTATGCTTATGTTCAGCTGTAGTAGATTCTGTCAAACAGGTTTCCAAAGTGGTTGTATTGACATATATTTCTACCAGCAGTGTATGAATGTTCCAATTGCTCTTCCTCTTCACCCATACTTGATATTATAACTTTTTTTTTTTTTTCATTTTAGTCATTCTGGTGGGTGTGAAGTGATAATCTCATTTTGGTTTTAATTTGCATTTCCCTGATGACTAATGAAGTTATGCATGCTATTCCTGCCATTCTTTACTATATAACAAATCAACCTCCAACTTAGAAGCTTAAACAATGAACAGTCCATTTACTATCTCACACAATTTCAGGAGTCTGGATTTTAGGAGGTTGGCTGGGCAGAACTGGCTTGGGGTCTCTCCTACAGATGCAGCCAGATGGGGGCTGGAGGTGCTGCAGGTATCTCTCTCTCTTCACGTAGCCAGGGCCTAACCCTGTGGTCCCTCTCTTTGGGCTTCCTTACAGTACAGTGGCCTCAGAACAGTCATACTGCTTACATGGAGGCTAAAGGCTTAAAGAGAGTATTCCAGCAAACAAAGCATAGGCTTTGCCATCTTTTGTGATCTAAATTCAGAAGTCACATAATGTCACTTCTGCCATACTCTTTATTGGCCTAAATAGCCACAAAAGTCCGCCAGTTTCAAGGGAAGGAAGCATAGACTCTACCTCTGATTGTAATGGTCAAAGTGACACTGTAAGAGGAACATGTAGGATGGAAGATATTGTTGCCACTATCTGTGGAAAATACAGTCTGTCACGCACATTTCATACGTCTATTGGCCACTCCTTTGTCTATTTTTCTGTGGCGTTACCATTTCTTCCCTTACTGATTGGTAAAATATATTCTGAATGCTAGTTTTTTTTTTTTTTTTTGCCAGGCATATATCTTGCAAATTTTTTTCCGATTATTCTGAGGCTTGCCTTCTCATTCTTTTTTTTTTTTTTTTTTTTTGAGACAGAGTCTCGCTCTGTTGCCCAGGCTGGAGTGCAGTGGCGCGATCTCGGCTCACTGCAAGCTCCGCCTCCCGGGTTCACACCATTCTCCTGCCTCAGCCTCCCGAGTAGCAGGGACTACAGGTGCCCGCCACCTCGCCCAGCTAGTTTGTTGTATTTTTTGTATTTTTTTAGTAGAGATGGGGTTTCACCATGTTAGCCAGGATGGTCTCGATCTCCTGACCTCGTGATCCGCCTGTCTTGGCCTCCCAAAGTGCTGGGATTACAGGCTTGAGCCACCACGCCCTGCCTTTTTTTTTTTTTTTTTTTGAGACATGGTCTCTGTCACCTAGGCTGGAGTGCAGTGATGTGATCATAGTTCACTGCAGCCTCCATCTCCTAGGCTCGTGCAATCCTCCCACCTCAGTCACCAGAGTAGCTGGGACTACAGGCACAAACCACCATGCTCAGTTAATTTTTTTTTAATTTTTTTTTTTTTTTTTTTGAGATGGAGTTTTGCTCTGTTGCCCAGGCTGGAGTGCAGTGGCACGATATCAGCTCACTGCAACGTCCACCTCCTGGGTTCAAGCAATTCTCCCTGCCTCAGCCTCCTGAGTAGCTGGGATTAAAGGAGCCTGCCACCATGCCCAGCTAATTTTTGTAGTTTTAGTAGAGACAGGGTTTCGCCATATTGGTCAGGCTGGTCTCAAACTCCTGACCTCAGGTGATACGCCCGCCTCAGCCTCCCAAAGTGCTGGGATTACAGGCATGAGCCACCATGCCTGGCTGGCCAAGACCTATTTTGATGATGCAATATATCAGATTTTTCTTTTATGGTTAGTCCTTTTTTTTTTGGTCTTAAGAAATCTTGCCTATGTCAAGGTTACAGAAACATTCTCTGCTTGCTCTATGAACTTTATGTTTTGAGTTTTTACGTTAGGTCTGTGATCCACCCCAAATTAGATTTGGGTATATGGTGTGAGGTAGGGGTTGCAATTCAATTTTGTTTTTTTTTTTTTTTGAGACAGAGTCTCACTCTGTTGCCCAGGCTAGAGTGCAGTGGCATGATCTCAGCTCACTGCAACCTCTGCTGCCCGGGTTCAAGTGATTCTTCTGCCTCAGCCTTCTGAGTAGCTGGCATTACAGGCGCCTGACACCGCACCAGGCTACTTTTTGTAGTTTTTATTTTATTATTTTTTGAGACAGAGTCTCGCTCTGTCACCTAGGCTGGAGTGCAGTGGTGTGGATCTCGGCTCACTGCAAGCTCTGCCTCCTGGGTTCATGCCATTCTCCTGCCTCAGTCTCCCAAGCAGCTGGGACTACAGGTGCCCACCACCATGCCTGGCTAATTTTTTGTATTTTTAGTAGAGACAGGGTTTTACCGCGTTAGCCAGGATGGTCTCGATCTCCTGACCTGGTGATCTGCCCACCTCGGCCTCCCAAAGTGCCAGGATTACAGGCGTGAGCCACCACGCCCAGCCTATTTTTGTAGTTTTTAGTAGAAACAGGGTTTCACCATCTTGGCCAGGCTGGTCTTGAACTCTAGACCTTGTGATCCACCCGCCTAGGCCTCCCAAAGTGCTGGAATTATAGGTATAAACCATTGCGCTTGGCTGCAATTCAATTTTTTTCCCCCAATACAGACCCAGTTGTTCTAGCACCATCTGTTCCTTTCTCCCTTGAATTGTCTTGGTGCCTAGAATTACCTTTTAAGGTGTATCAAATGACATCACTCCTTTTTCAAAGCCTTTCAGTGGTTTCCCACCTCAGAATAAAGGCCAAAATATGCCTCATTAAGGTTCTACATGATCTGGAAAAATGAGATCCTGACTCATCTTCTGATACCCTTACTCCCTTGCTCCAAACATCCTGACCTTGCTATTCTTTCATCATGCCAGACACTCTCCCGCCTCAGGCCTTTGGATGGAAAGCTCTTCCTTCAGATATCCACATGGCTCATTCCTTTACTTTCTTCAGGGCTACGTTCTTAATGAGGCCTTTTTTGGATCCCCTAAAATTTCAGCGGACTCTCACACTTCTTATTTCCTTCTTTTCCTTATGACTTACCATTATCTAACATACTGTATGTTTAATTTTTCTTGTTTCTATCTGAATGTAAGCTTGAATGGCTATGCATTTATTTTGTTGACTCATCACTCTGGCATCTGAGACAATGCTTAGTATATGGCAAGCATTTGATAAATTCATTAAATGAATAAGAATGTTGGCTGGGCGCAGTGCCTCATGCCTGTAATCCCAGCACTTTGGGAGGCTGAGGCGGGTGGATCACAAGGTCAGGAGATCAAGACCATCTTGGCTAACATGGTGAAACCCCTTCTCTACTAAAAAATACAAAAAAATTAGCTGGGCGTGGTGATGGGTGCTTGTAGTCCCAGCTACGCAGGAGGCTGAGGCAGGAGAATGGTGTGAACCCAGGAGGCGGAGCTTGCAGTGAGCTGAGATCGCGCCTCTGCACTCCAGCCTGGGTGACATAGCGAGACTCTGTCTCAAAAAAAAAAAAAAAAAAAAAAAGGATATTGAGGCCCAGAAAGATGAAGTTACTCACCTAAGATTACACAGATAATAAATAACAAAGCTAAAATTTAAACCTAAGTTGCCTTACTTCAGAGTCTAAGCTCTTAAGCCTGAGAGATGGGTTCCGTTACTGAGTAGGGCTCAGTATACTGGTACAGAGGTGCAGTGAACTGGCAGGTTCCTCCACCTTTTCTTTATTTGTTGTTTTTTTAAGAGATGGAGTCTTGCTATGTTGTCCAGGCTGGACTCAAACTCCTGGGCTCAAGCAATTCTCTCACCTCAGCCTCCTGAGTGGCTGGCACTACAGGCATGTGCAACTGCACCCTGCCAGCCCCCTCCACCTTCTGCCCGTGATGGAGCCAGATGTTCCAGGGCTGGGGTTTGACCTCAGCATCTTAGCCAATCAGGCATGTCCAAGGCATGGGGGGGGGGGGGGGGGGGGGGAGGGGGGGGTGGCGCAAGGCCAGTGTGCTGTGTGCTGTTGCCCTCCAGTGGCTAGGGTGGGGAAGAACAGGCTAAAAGCTGCCTTGAAGCTGAAGAGGGATAGGGGACATGGTTGGTTCTTAGTTCTCTCGTCACAGAATACACAATGCAGGGGTGGGCATTAAGAGATCTTTATTTTACCAGAAGGGACAGGCAGTGGGGCAGTGCAGCATCCAAGCCCCAGACCAGACATGCAGCATCCACATGCAGGAAGAGCTACACAGGCTGGGGCAGGGGCAGGGCCAGGGTGGGATGCTGGGACCACTGGACATTCACAGCACCCCTGCCAAGACGCTTGGGTCCTGGGCTCTTCTGCCTCCATTGGAGCAACGAGACAGAGGATTGGGTTGCTTCCCCATGGCTGGAACCCCATCACTCTGGCCAGGAAGAAAGATGGCACAAGGGCTCTGGGGTCTGGCCAGGTTACAGCACTCGATTCTGTACAGGGTTGGCATAGCCTTGTCTACCAGAAGGGCCCAACACCCAGGACAGAGCAGCCCTAGCAGGAAGAAGGTCTACACACTTTTCTGTCCCCAACAGGGCTAGACCCTCATCTCAGAAAACTTAGCAGAGCTGGCACCAAGCCCCACTGCCCCAGCAGACACATGCCCATGAAGAGGCCTTCCCTGAGCATAAGCAGGGGCCTCCTAAGGCAGTAGGAAACTGAGGAAGCTGCTGTAGACAGGAGGCCTTGCCTCTGTGCCCGTGGGGTCAGGGAGAAAGGACAGGGTATGAGCGCCAGCCGGGGTCTTGGGCAGATGAGGGGAAGGACAGTGGTGCTAGGCCCTGCAGGTCATGGCTGCCCAGACCTAGAGGGGCAGTAGCAGGTGAGGCTGTGGGCTTCCTGTGGCAGGATTTAGGGCTGGGAAGACCAGTCCGGGAGAGAGGAGAGTGACCGTCCTACATAGAACCCCTGCCCATGCTGGGCTCTGGCCACAGCCATAGGGAGGATGGGCAGATGCACAGAGAACTTCAAGGCACCAGGATTCTGAGGAGCAGCAGGGCCACCCCCCACAGACAGAGAGTGATTGTAATAAACATCTTCAGCTTAAACTACATGATGTGCATAGGGGGAAAGAAAAAGAGATAAAGGAAAAGACACACAGGGAGATGAGACACAAACCTGATGAAAGTGGCAGTGAAAGTGGGGTAAAAGAGAGGAAGAGGAGGAGGTGGACAGAGACAGGAGAGACAGGAAGACAGCCAGAGATGGCCTGAACACGCAGCACTTCTGGTCCCTTCAAGATAAGGCACCAGAGTCAGTAACATTCCCATTGTTCTGTGGGATTAAAACGGGTGCTGGAGGGAGGGCTGGGTGGCTGCTGAAGAGAGTGGGCCTGCAGGAGCCTCACACCTGCACACCGGTGGCCTTCTTGATCAGGGGTATCTGCAAGGATGGGACATGCCATGAGGCCTTGGCTCCAGGACCCAGGACCACTCTGCCTGGCCAGTCCGATAGGCTGCCCGGGCAACCCCACCGCAGCTAGGCAGACACACACCTTAGATAGGTCCACGCCCGTGAGGGCATGCACAGAGGCAGGCAGCTCGGCCAGTAGTCGGTTCACTTCTGATGTGACCTTGCTGTTGTCTCCACTGAGGACCACAATCTCATCGACTTTGGTAAGTGGGGCAGCGATTTTGGCAGCGATCTAGGAGGTAAGAGTGGGAGGAGAGCCTGGTTGGCGCCGACTCTGTTCCCAGCCTGGTTCAGCATCTTTCCCTCCCTTCCTCAACTCACTCCAACCCCAAAGCAGCCTGGGCGGCCCTTAGTGAGCCATGGTAAGAGAGGCCCTGTGGGCCAGGGATGGCTTAGGTCTGTTGTAGGGTTCCTGCCCCCTGCTGAAGATGCTCCTCATTTAACCCTTCTAGCCACCTGTCCCTGTGTTACTCGCAAGGCCCAGAGAAGTTCTGGCACTTGCCCAGCTAGTCAAGCAAGGACACTTGGACCCTGGGACCCACTTAGGTGGAAGCCTCACCTGGGGCAGGGCCTCCAGCACCAAGGCCATCTTGGCTGCATCCCCATATTTCTGGTAGGCTTCCGCCTTGAGCTTCATCCGCTCAGCCTCCGCCTTGCCCATCGCCTCGATGACTGCTGCTTCCGCCTCCCCGATTTTGCGGATCTTCTCAGCCTCTGCCTGTGCCAAGAGGACCTGCTTCACCCTGGGGGAGCCCAGGCCAGGCAGGATCAGTGGGATGTACCAGGGTACCCTCAAGCCTTGCCTGGGGGCCAGCAATCCTTCAAATACTCTGCCTTGGGGGCTGTCAGGGGTGGGAAACATTTGAACGGAGGGGGGTGGCCTCACCTTCTGGCTCTGGCCAGGGAAAGGCCACCAGCTCCCAGCTCTAAGTGGGAGGGGACAAACCAGGATGCTGTCTATGCCCAAGCACTACAGGCACTGGAGCCTCCTTTATCTATTTAGTCTTCCTAACAGCAGTCCCACAGGGTACATGGGGTTATCCTCACTTCACAGTGAGTAAGAAGACACAGTGGAGGAGAAGTGGCTTCCAAGCTGTGGTCAGGAGAGTACAGGGAGTGCACTGAAGGCAGAGGAGGCTGACTAAGCCCTGACCCTGGCACCTGGGCGGCTCTCACTTTTCACCCTCGGCAATCTGCTGGATACGGTGGGCCTCGGCCTCGGCGGGCCGACGCACTGTAGCGATGAGCTCCTTGTCCGTACGCAGGATCTCCTGTGCCTCCACGGCAATCTGTTTCTTGCGCTGCACAACCTCAATCTCAATCTCTTCCTGCCGGATCTTCTGCTGCTCACGGGCCCCCTGCAGCTCATAGGCCAACTGGGCCTCAGCTGTCTATAGCAAGAGGGTGGTTGGCATATTAGAGTCTAGTCACCAAGTCCTGATCCCTGAGGCCCAACCCAGGATGCCCTCAGGCTGCTCACCTTGATGTTAACCTCCTCACTGAAGGCTGACTTTTGCAGCTCGAAGGCTCGCTTAGAGTCAGCAATCTTGGTGTCTGCCATGAACTTTACATCCAGCATCTCCTTCTTACACTCAGCTTCCTGGGGGCAAAACGGGCAGGTGAGTGAGTAGAGGTCCCGAGTCATCATGGTCCCATCACCCCTGAGCTTCCTGTCCTTGAACCCACGTACCCGGATGCCTGCGTCCCGTTCAGCCTCTGCCACGCCAATGTCAGCATCTCTCTGCACCACGGCAGTCTGCGTCTTGCCCAGGGAGCTCAGATAGTCCACTTTGTCATACACGTCCTGGGGAGGGAATGGGGTAACAGAGGCTCAAAGGAGCAGCCAGAGGCACAAAGATGCCCCTCTAGCGATGCCACCATCTGCCAGATGGACACCAGGAGATACAGCTTCCCATCACATCGTACCTTGATGGTGAAGCTGAGGATCTCAATGCCCATGCGGCCAACGTCAGGGGCTGCCACCTCCCGCACCAGCTTGGCAAACTGGTCCCGGTCCTGATAAATCTGCTCCACTGTCAGGGTACCTGGGGGCAGAGAGATCAGGGGCTGGCTCCCCAGGGACCCAGCCAGCTGGGGAAGGGAGGAGGCATGCATGTAGAGGTCAGGGTGCATGCAGGGTGCTGCAGTCTGAACTGGGTCTCCTGGGGTATCTTCTCAACAGCACTTAACACCAAGCCTCCTGCTGCACAGTCCAGGCTGGACAAGGAAAAGTGTCCCAAGCAGCACTAGGTTCCTGAGCAGACTGACAGCCCCCATTCTACCCCAGTGCCCTCTCCTTCACTCAAGTCACCTGAGGTTTTTGAAATTAAATATTTGAGGAAGAACGTTTTAGCTTGAAACACCAGTGAAACAGGCCCCCTGCCCAGCCCTGCACCCCTTCCTGCCTTGGCTTAGGGGCCCCGTGAGGCTCCTCAAAGGCAGGACAGGGCCTCACCGAGGATGGAGCGCAGATGTCCCTCCAGGGTCTGTAGGACGACGTTTTTTATGTCCTGCACGTTCTTACCCAGAAACTGCTCACAAGCCACCGCCAGGAGCTCCTTCTCTGTCATAATCTTCACCTGCCAGTGATGACAGAGGCGCTTCAGCCAGGCTGGAGTGAGGAAGACGGAGGCCCCAGACCCAGAGGTAGGCAGGATGATGGCTGTGCCTCCTCCCTTCCTTTTTTCAGATCTGGAGGCCCTGGGTGGCTGGAATCTGTCTGAGGCCTCTAGTGGGGAGATAGCAGCACAAGGGCTTCTCACACTGTGAAACTTCACCTGCACTGGCAGCCCCAGGCCCTGCCACGGCCTCTCATGGGCATTCGGGGCTTGTCTCCCCATCCCTTCAGCCTACTGTCCCCTCACCAGCCAATTCCTCCCTTGCAGGCTTCCCACACATGGGAGACCCTGAGGCTGAGGGGCAGAGAGTATGACAAGCAGAATGAGCAATAGGGACACAGACAGAGAAGGAAAGAGCCTGGACAGGGCATGAGAGGGTTGGCGGATGCAACCAAGGATGCCCCTCTTTCTTGAGGTACTCAGCCAACCCCTCGCCGAGGCCTACAGCATGGCTGAACCTCACTGCCCTGTGATGCCAAGAGGTGGATTGGGGCTGGAAGCCCTCACCTAGGCCCCCAGCTGGGAATATGACACAGCCTCTGACTCCCAGAGTCCAGAGCTCCTCTGCCTCACATGCCTCTCCCTCTGGGCCCCACCCCTCCCACCCCATACCCAGGGAACAAGGAAGGCCTGGATTCTGGGGCTTGACATTTCCAACACCTGCAAAGAATGGGGTTGGGTTAGTGAGCCAGGAGCCCTCAGCACTGGTTCTGTCCCTCGTGGGCCCGCTGAGGAGAGAAGGGGTGTCTGTTAGTCCTGCTGGGTGGCCAAAAGGGCCCGGTGAGCATGTTCCAGTGGCGACGACCCGACTGGCCCTCTCTTGCGGGACTTGCGGGGGCTGGGGCGCTGGAGAGAGACTGCCCCTGGCTGCCGTCCTCTCCTCCTCCCCCCGAACCCGAGTACAGGACCAGGCAGCTCAACGGACATGCGCGGGGCTGCTGAGTTACTATACCTGGGCGACACCCGTCACAGTTAAAGCTACCCCCTCGGCCGTCTCTACGTCCTCGCAGCGGGGCTGCAACGTCATAATCTCTAGGGAAATCCTGCCAAGAAACGCAAAACAGGGGCATGGGTCTGGGGGCGCAGGGCCTGGTGGTGTTGGGAAAGAGTCTAGTACCTCACTGCTCCAGCTGCGTCCTGGTGAGGAAGGTGGAGGAAGGACTCTCCATGGGGCTGAGATGGGAGTGTCTGAGAAGGAGGTGGGCAGGAGGGCAGGTGGGTGCAGGTGGCCCCAGGGGAAGGAGCGGAAATGAGCTGTGTATGTGCACACACCCTCTGCTCAAGCCAGCCTGGCTGGTTGTGAGGAAAACGAAGTAGAAAGAAGTGGCTGTAGGTGGTTGGGGGCTGGTGGTTGGGGGAGAATTCAGGTGTAGCTGTGTGTATGTTCTAGGATAGCAAGTCAGTGCTGGTCCTCCCGGCTCTGCTGCGCAGGCCATCCATGGATGTCATCTGAGCCTCCCGCAGGGGCCCTGGCCCATTCCTTGATCTACCCAGCACTCCAGGGTGCCCCAGGAAGCTGCCCGGAAAGTTCTGTCTGATTGCCTGGCATCCTGGAGTATGCGCACTGCTGGGCTAAGATGGAAGTGATTCTGTACCTGCCCCTTGCCAGAGAAGCCCTACTGGGTGGCTGCAGCCTTTTGACTTGAAACCCACATCTGGTATTAAGCCCAGGTGGGTCACATGGGGAATGCACACTGAGGTCACACTAGAGCTTCTTGGTCAAGGAGTGTTAACCCTGGAAAGAGTTGTTCTGGCCAGGCAATCTGATTCCTCCAGGGTCCACAGTCACCCGCCTTAAAAGGGATCTGGGCATGTGCAGGTGTTTCAAGTGCAGGTGTGGGTGTGGAGCGGGACAGGACTGCATCAAATGGGGTGTTGAGGGAGGCCTGGACCCTACCCCTTCCACACAAGGTACTCCGAGCCTCTCAGGCCTCTGCACCTCCCATGGCTACAAGGGCTAAGGAGATGGGGATGGTCCCCTTCCCCATTAGAGACGGCAGGATGGGTGAAGAAGGGAGTGGTGGTATAGTGTTTTTGCCTAAGTGGAGGCTGAAGGGCAATTTAATGCAGAGGGAGGGGGTGAGAAAGATGCAGTTCAGGCCTCTTCCAGCCTGGGAACCTGCTGGCACACAAGCTCTGAGGGGGCAGGGGCTTTGTTTGTTCACTCCTGCAGTCCACATGCCTCGAATTGAGAAGGTGCTCAGTAGAGAGCTGGTGAATGAAGCAATGAAGAGGGGAACCCACACATGACAGAGTAAGCATTTGGAGCTACTTAACACTTAAGCCCAAGAATAGATTTCACCAGCTATGGCTGCATGGTAATGAAGGCCTGGCATCCAGGGACACTCACTGGCAGACTTGGCAAAGCTTCCAGAATCCCTTGCTGTTTTCCCACTTGCAGTCCAATAGGCAAGGGCAAGGGACCTGGGGATCTACAGGGATCCATACTGGCACCCAGAGCAGTTGGAGGAGAGAAAAGAGGAGAGGGAGGAAGGCACGGTCTCAGGAGGGGAGTCCACTGGCTCCTGTCTGCCAGGCCCCGCAGGGCAGGAAGAGAGAAGGTTAGACACGGAGGAGGAAGCAGGTGGGTTATTACCTGTGCAACCCCTGTTACGAATAGTGGAACCCCCTCCGACGTCTCAATATTCTCACAGCGACACAGGATGGTCATAACCTCCAGAGACAGTCTGAGGAGCAGCCAGGGGATGGGGAGAGGTAGGGACAGGAAGGGGAGGAGGGGACACAGCAAACACACACAGTAGTTACCAGACAAGCACCGATGCCTGATGCCTGGGGACGGCGGTGGGGGGGCATGCTGTCAGTAATCCAACCCCCCAACTGCCAGCTCAGCTGAGGGCTGCAGGAGAGCAGAGATCCCCCGTGCTGCTCCAAGGCCTCTGGGTCTCTTCTCTAGCCCCAATCCCTTCTAGTGAGGACCTGCTGGGCTGGGGAAGATGCCTGCTGCCACTCTGGGCCTGCAGCCTGAGGTCAGGAGGCTTGTGCACAGCGCACCTGGGTTGCCCGCCACCTCACTTTCCCAGGGATCCTGTCGCAATCTGGGAGACTGAGCCTTAGCCCCCTGTCTTCACACAGGTAAACCTGTGTTTCCAGAAATCGGGAGTAGGAGGCTATTCTGGGGACTCCTGAGCTTTAGCAAATGCTGAATCCACCAGGTCTGCACTTTCTATCACTAAGAAGGCAAGGCGAGGCCAGAAAAGCCCAAATGTTCTGATGTGGGGGTCAAGGAAGGCTGGGGGAGGGGAAAGTGTGTTCCTGCCAGAATATTCAGGGACAACTGGGAGATAAGGGAGACATTTAATTGGGAATTTCCAAAGTTTGCCAGGGGCAGAGAGAAGATTATTGGCAAAGAAAACAAGGTGCCTCGAAGCTCCCTGGGCCATGCTGGCTGGGCCTCCCTAGGCAGTGTATGTGCAGGGTGGGTGTCTAGACAGAGTCCAGGCTGTGGACAGTGTGGAAGGTTTCCCTAAATCAGAGGAAGGAAGAGAGGACAGAGGCCGAGGGTGAAGGGGCAGAAGCAGGTGGAGGGGTGATAAGCAGCAGCAGTCAATGTGCAGCCCCCATCACAGCCCTGGGAGGGGCCATCCCCACAGTGCCAGCCCTGGGGCTCTGGCCATGCAGATGTGCAAAGGTTGCCTTCGTTTGAGCCCCTAACACTAGCAGCCTTGGGCCTGAGAGGATTCTTGACCCGGCTCAGACAGAAACCCACCAAGCTCTCTTCTGGGGAAGGAGACAGGGAAACAGGGGAGAGAGAGGGAGGGAGGAAGGGTAGTGGGGAGGGAAGAAGGGAGGCTGCAGCTCAGATGCCAAAGGTGGAAGAATTGCTCAGGTAAGAGAGAGCTGCCCACATCAGGGCCTTGGGATAGCATAGGATGTGGCAGCAAAGTGTAGCAGGAGGGGTCGCTGAGCCTGGAAGAATGGCCCAAGGGCACGTGACATATAGACAGTTGCGGAAAGGACCTCGAGAGGGAGGCTAAGTATCCAGGCTGAGTTAGAAGCCTCTACTCTGACCCGAGAGGCTCCTGCCAGCATAGGGAAATAAAGGCCCCAGCCTGTGGAGATGTCCCCCAAGCAGGCTAGGGATTGGGGAAGAGGCTGCCCCCAAAGAAAAGGGGATGAGGGGAAGGACTACTGGCTCAGACTACCCAGCAAGTGAGACCAGAGGGAGGATGTGGAGCCTGGGTGTGAGGTCAGTGTCCTGGGAAGAGATACAAGGCCCTTCACCTCTAACTTCCAAACTTGCTGTCAGAAAGGCTTGGCCCTTCTGTCCTGGCTCTGCTCCCTGGAGCAAGAAGGGAGAGCAGGGGACCAAGAATCCGGAGAACGGACCGTAGGGGAATTGGCCTAGCAGTGGCTGCCCATGCAGGACAGGTGTCTGGACAAGATACTCTGTTGTGCTGGGAATGCACAGTGTGCGGGGTGGCGGTATGTCTGCAGAGGGCTCCCCACGGCTTCTGACAGGCCACTGGCCCACTCAGGTGCAGCCAGGATCCTCTCGAGTGAAGGCTGTGGCCACTATTGATTACTCTGACACTTTGAGCTTTGAACCAGAAGAGTCCCCCAGCATCGCTCACCTCCAGCCAGGTAAAGTGAAGGAGAGGTGGGAGAGTGGAGCTGTTACCGGGAACCAGTGAAGTTAATCCATTGTGCCATGCTTCCCAATTCCCCCTGACCCTAGCAGATGCCCTCAGACTCCCAGGAGCCTCAAGCGCTAGTAGCTTGGTGCAGACGTGAGCTGTTGACAGGTGGGGGCTGGGGCAGAGGGGGTTTCCACTGGAAGCTCCATGATTTCCCCTGTGGGGTGACCGACCCCCTTGCAACATGACAGCTCTGCTGCCCTTGTTGCCTGGGTCCTGGTTGGGAAGGGTCTGCTCCTCTCCTCCTCACCACCCCATCTCCCATAATCAGGAAGGGGGCGATTGTGAAAAGGTAGCTGGCATGCCTCATCTCTTGGGTGCGCAGTGAGGGTGCCAGGAGAGGCCAGGTCTGGCCCTGCCCTAGGCTCTGCAGGCAGCGGCAGGTAGAGCCGGATGGTGGGTCCTCTGGGGAGCTGAAATCTCACTTCCTCTAGTAAGTCTTTCCAGACTGATTTAGGAGGTCCAGACCTGTCTTGCTCAACCCCAGCACTAATTCATTAGGTCCCCCTCCCTGTCTAAGTCTAACTCACCACTGTCATAGAACCACTTTTGACTATATGTCCATTCTCTGCCACTTCGTCCCTGACTGCAGTCCCCAGGGCCTGCATAGGTAAGGGTGTGCATGGGGTCTCTCCAGCCTTTCCTCCCTTCATATGCCCACTCCAAACTGGGTGTATAATAAAAGACTTCTTAAATAACTTGGAGTTGTAATCAGGAAATCAAGATTCTGCCTGGGATATGACCCTGAATTCTCTGGGACAGAAGTAATGCCACCTCCGGTGGAAAAAAGAACACCCACTAAGGAGGGGGTGCCCATGACAGACCTACCTGACGCGTGTCTCCCGCACCCCTGTGCAACCCCTCTCACATGCTTCTTAGGAGGCGCCCTCTCCACCCCTCCAACAGAATGGAATGTGGAAACGGTGGATGCTCTAGCTGACCCTCAGGGTGAAGCAGAACAATGCTGGAAGCCCCTATCTCCCTGGCCCACTCCATGACAGGTCCTAGAGCCCCCAGGTGCTTACCTCTGAGTGTCGGAGATACACCACCAGGCCCAGGCCCAGCCGCCAAACACGTACTGTTTATAGTCGGAACCACAGCAGCCCCCTGGGGAGCAAAAAAACCACCACAGGTCAGTCTGTTCTTGGGTCTGTCTACCCTCCAGCCCACTGAGCCATTTTTGTCCTTTATCTGCTCTGATACTTGACAATGCCTACTGTTGGGTGCCTAGTGCTGAGGTTACACATATATGAGAGAGAAGTTCTCCCTGCCCTTATGGGACTTAAAATCTTGCTTGGTAGACAGGCAATTTACATAAAGAGAAGGAGAGCCAATGAATAGTTCAGAATGTAAGTGCTTCCAGAGAACAGAAGAACAGAACAGGACAATGGGCAGAGGTGATCTGGAAAAGCTGCTTTTTTTTTTTTCTGAGACGGAGTCTCGTGCTGTTGCCCATGCTGGAGTGCAGTGGCGCAATCTCAGCTCACTGCAAGCTCCGCTTCCCGGGTTCAAGCCACTCTCCTACCTCAGTCTCCCAAGCAGCTGGGACTACAGGCACCCGCCACCATGCCCGGCTAATTTTTTGTATTTTTAGTAGAGACGGGGTTTCACTGTGTTAGGCAGGATGGTCTCAATCTCCTGACCTCAGGATCCACCCGCTTCGGCCTCCCAAAGTGCTGGGATTACAGGCGTGAGCCACTGCGCCTGGCCTCCATTTTTTTTTTTCAGACAGAATGTCACTCTGTTGCCCAGGCTAGAGTGCAGTGGCACAATCTCAGCTCACTGCAACCTCTGCCTCCTGGGTTCAAGCGGTTCTCCTGCCTCAGTCTCCTGAGTTGCTGGGATCACAGGTGCCCCTACACCACACCTGGCTAATTTTTGTATTTTTAGTAGAGACAGAGTTTCATCATGTTGGCCAGGCTGGTCTCAAACTCTTGGCCTCAGGCAATCTGTCTGCCTTGGCCTCCCAAAGTGCTGGCATTACAGGTGTAAGCCACCTCACCAGGCCAGCTTTTTTTTTTTCTTTTCTGGAGACGGAGTTTTGCTCTGTTGCCCAGGTTGGAGTGCAGTGGCATGATCCCGGTTCACTGCAACCTCTGCCTCCCAGGTTCAAGCAATTCTTCTGCCTCAGCCTCTCGAGTAGCTGGGATTATAGGCATGTGCCACCACACCCACCTAATTTTTATATTCTTAGTAGAGACAGGATTTCACCACGTTGGCCAGGCTGGTCTCGAACTGTTGACCTCGTGATCCACCTGCCTTGGCCTTCCAAAATGCTGGGATTACAGGCGTGAGCCACCGCGCCTGGTCCAGCTTCCATTTTTAATTAATTCAATCAATAAACAAGTATGCCCTGGAGTTCACCTGTTATCACAGTGGGTGTAGACAGAGAGGGAACGCAGACGGGGACAACACTGGGGGGCTGGGAGGGAAGGAAGAGTCTCCCAGCCAAGGTGAGGGGGTTTGCTCTTCTGTCTGGCAGACACATCCCAGTGAGGCTGGTTCTCTACTTTCAGAACATTCAGAATGACTTTGTTCCCCACCCGTGGGAACGGGTGGGGAAGGCAAGGTCTCAAAGGCTAACTTGTGGTACCAATGGGAGAAGTGAAGACAAAGCAAAAAGGCCTAAAAAGGAACTGGTTCGGCTGGGCGCAGTGGCTCAGGCCTGTAATCCCAGCACTTTGAGAGGCCGAGGCGGGTGGATCAAAAGGTCAGGAGAAGGTCAGGAGATGGAGACCATCCTGGCTAACACGGTGAAACTCCGTCTCTACTAAAAATACAAAAAAAACTAGCCGGGCATGGTGGCGGGTGCCTGTAGTCCCAGCTACTCAGGAGGCTGAGGCAGGTGAATGGCATGAACCCGGGAGGCGGAGCTTGCAGTGAGCTGAGATCTCGCCACTGCACTCCAGCCAGGGTGACAGAGCGACTCGCCATCTCAAAAAAAAAAAAAAAAGGCCGGGTGCGGTGGCTCAAGCCTGTAATCCCAGCACTTTGAGAGGCCGAGACGGGCGGATCACGAGGTCAGGAGATCGAGACCATCCTGGCTAACACAGTGAAACCCCGTCTCTACTACAAAATATAAAAAAATAGCCGGGCGAGGTGGCGGGCGCCTATAGTCCCAGCTACTCGGGAGGCTGAGGCAGGAGAATGGCGCAAACCCGGGAGGCAGAGCTTGCAGTGAGCTGAGATCCGGCCACTGCACTCCAGCCTGGGCGACAGCACGAGACTCTGTCTCAAAAAAAAAACAAAACAAAACAGGAAGTGGTTCTTGGAAACAGTGTGTCAACTATACAGAATATCTAATTCAGCCACAACCCAGATCCATGATCTAGACATGTTCTACATGTTCCCTATACAGAAATGAGAAAAATCAATTCCTAAGATTCTTGTAGTGAATTCTCTTGTTAATGTCAAAATTCCTCAGCAAGTTCAACGAAACCTTCATAAAACTGGACAGGCAGTTAACTTGCAGTGCAAAAAAATGTACAGGAAACAAAATTCAAAGGAAATAAGTGATCTGGGAAAAACCAGAGTGTTATCATTTCTTTTTTTTTTTCTGAGACAGGGTCTCATTCTGTCGCCCAGGCAAGAGTACAGTGGTGCAATCATGGCTCACTGCAGCCTCAACCTCTTAGGCTCAATTGATCCTCCCACCTTAGCTTCTCAAGTAGCTGGAACTGCAGGTGTGTGCCACTATGCCAGGCTAATTTTTGTATTTTTTGTGGAGACAAGGTTTCACCATGTTGCCCAGGCTGTTCTCTAATTCCTGGGCTCAAGCGATCCACAGGCATTGGCCTCTCAAAGTGCTGGGATTACAGGCATGAGCTGCCGCGCCTGGCCGAGCATTATCATTTCCACGTTCACAAATTTAGGTTTTCATGAAATCTTCAAAGAACCTCAAAAGGTTGTCTGACTCCCAAGGTCAAGGGTCTGGGGGAGTTTCATGCAGCTGGGTGTCTCTGGGGACTCATAGCAGGGAACAAGGCAAGAGGAGGGGCAGAGGGCAGATCACACAGTGTCTTGTGTGTTAGGCCAAGAAGCTGTGTGAGTGAGTGACAGGGAGCAAGGTTACCCTTGAGAAACACATATCACTTTGCACAAGGAGGAAGACACTGGGATCAGGGAGACTGGCCTCTTGCAGTAATCCAGGCAAGGCATGGTAGCTGATACTGCAGACAACTTCTAGAGCAGTCTTATCCGTGACAACTTTCTGCAAGGGTAAGAATGTTCTGTATCTTCTTCTGTGTTTATGCTGTACAGTACAGCAGCCTCTAGCAACATGCAACTGTTGTGCACTTCAAATGAGGCTGGCATGACTGGGGAACTGAATTTTTTATTTAATTAATTTAAATGGCCACCTGTGGCTCCTGTTCACATTGGACAGTGCAGCTCTAGTCTGGGTTTGGGTGGATGCTGAGGACAATAATAGAAACAGACACAATGGAGAGAACGGGAAACTGGGGACAAATTTTGGGTGGGTGGAGGCAAAGAAATAAAGACCTCCCAGTGGGCTTGAAAGGTTGGAGAGCTGGCATCTAATACTGCCTACCAGGCAGGTAACCCCGTTTTCTGGGTCTGCTGCCATGCATGAAGTTCCAGTAGCAGAGCCAGAGGTCCAGGGATCAAAGAGCAGCCCTATAGTGTGGGCAGGGAACAGTAAGAGGGGGTCCTGGGTCTCTGTTTCTCTGGGGTAGAACTACCTGCTTACAGGGCTGCTGTTCAAGGTAAGCCATTCCAGGCTTCTCTGACCTGGGAAATGGGGTGGGGAGGCCTCTGAGGACAAGCACTCAATCTGAAACCCAAACCATCTCAGGATCAAGTGAAACTGGAAGGGGACCAAAAATCACAGCTTATTTTACATCTTCTGGCCTGGTGGGGGCTGGGGCATGGTTGCCTTGGGCTAGCTCCAGGGGACTTCTCAATGTGCAGTGGGAAGGTGGTAGTGGTGGTGGTAGGATGAGGGAGTGAGTGGGGTGGGGGATGGACAGGGTAGATGGCCACTCTTTGTTTTCCGTTTTTTTTTTTTTTTTTTTTTTTTGAGACAGAGTCTTGCTCTGTCGCCCGGGTAGGAGAGAATTGGCACAATATTGGCTCAATACAACCTCCGCCTCCCAGGTTTAAGAGATTCTCCTGCCTCAGCCTCCCAAGTAGCTGGGATTACAGGCAACCACTAACACGTCTGCCTAATTTTTAAATTTTTAGTAGAGATGGGGTTTCACCATGTTGGCCAGGCTGGTCTCAAACTCCTGACCTCAGGTGGTCTGCCTGCCTCAGGCTCCCAAAGTGCTGGGATTACAGGCATGAGCTACCGCACCCAGCCCACCCTTTACCTTTAACTTATTCTTTGGCTTGGGGAGCAGGCTGCCACAGCTCAAGCTGGGCCTTGGTTAAGAGCAACATGGCCAGGTTCCCAAGGGTTGCAACAACAGGAAGCTGAAACTGCCAGATTGCCTGCCCCTACCAGCATCCTCCCCTGGAAGGCAACTTCCTGCCAGCTTCCTGATCACTCAGCCTGAGCACCCCTCCCAAGAGGCCAGTTAGGTGCCTTTTCCTTGACTTCTGTAACTCTTACTCATCTCAAGACCTGGAAGTTTCTCCTGACTGTACCTCACTCTTTCTTTTTTTTTTTTTGAGACGGAGTCTGGCTCTGTCACCCAGGCTGGAGTGCAGTGGCCGGATCTCAGCTCATTGCAAGCTCCGCCTCCTGGGTTCACGCCATTCTCCTGCCTCAGCCTCCCGAGTAGCTGGGACTACAGGCGCCCGCCACCTCGCCCAGCTAGTTTTTTGTATTTTTTTTAGTAGAGACGGGGTTTCACCATGTTAGCCAGGATGGTATCGATCTCCTGACCTCATGATCCGCCCGTCTCGGCCTCCCAAAGTGCTGGGATTACAGGCTTGAGCCACCGCGCCCGGCTACCTCACTCTTTCTAATCCAACTTGCTTTCCCTTTCTACAGTTAAGCTGAAGAACCACAAAATACTCCATGATAACCTCTGTTCCACTCTCTTAGCCCTTCTACAGGACACAGCCCCACCACTCTGCCCTCTCAGGAGCATCCCCTGCCCTTCCTGGCCTTCTTCCACCTTTTTTTTTTGAGACAGTATTGTACTCTGTCACCCAGGCTGAATGCAGTGGTGTAATCATAGCTCACTGCAGCCTTGAACTCACGGGCTCAAGCGATCCTCCAGCCTCAGCCTTCCATACACTGCCATGACTGTCTAATTAAAAAGAATTGTTTTTGTAGAGACAGGGTCTTGCTATGTTGCAGAAGCTGGTCTCAAACTCTGGGCCTCAAGTTATCCTCCCACCTCGGTCTCCTAAAGTGCTGGGATTACAGGTGTGAGCCACTATGTCCAGCCCACCTTCTTCCCACTAGTCAAGAAGTCCAGGCTGGGCGCGGTGGCTCCCTCCTGTAATCCCAGCACTTTGGGAGGCCAAGGCGGGCGGATCGAGAGGTCAGGAGATCGAGACCATCCTGGCGAACACGGTGAAACCCCGTCTCTACTAAAAATACAAAAAAATTAGCTGGGCGTGGTGGCGGGCGCCTGTAGTCCCAGCTTCTAGGGAGGCTGAGGCAGGAGAATGGTGTGAACCCAGGAGGCAGCGGAGCTTGCAGTGAGCGGAGATCGCGTCACTGCACTCCAGCCTGGGCGACAGAGCAAAACTCTGTCTCAAAAAAAAGAAAAAAAAGAAGTTCATATCCTGTCTGGGCATGATGGCATATGACTGTAATTCCAGCACTTTGGGAGGCTGAGGGGGGAGGATTGCTTGAGCCCAGGAGTTTTGAGACCAGTCTGGGCAACATAGGGAGACCCTGTCTCTACAAAAAATTAAAAATTAGCAGCCAGGCACGGTGGCTCACACCTGTAATCCCAGCACTTTGGGAGGCTGAGGTAGGCGGATCACTTTAGGCCACGAGTTTGAGAATAGCCTGGCCAACATGGTGAAATCCCGTCTCTACTAAAAATATAACAATTAGCCGGGCATGGTGGCGTGTGCCTGTAATCCCAGCTACTTGGGAGGCTGAGGGATGAGAATGGCTTGAACCTGGTAGATGGAGGTTGCAGTGAGCTGAAGTCACACCACTGCACTCTAGCCTGGGCAACAAAGGAAGACCTTGTTTTTTTTTTTTAAAAAAAAACACTGAGTGTAGTGGCATGCACTTACAGTCTCAGCTACTTGGGAGGCTGAGGTGGGAGGATTGCTTGAGCCTGGGAGGTCAAGGCTGCAGTGAGCTGTGATCATGCTACTGCACTCTACTAGCCTGGGTGACAGAGCAAGACTGTGTCTCCAAAAAAAAAAAAAAAAAAAAAAAGGCCCTATCGTACTAGGGAGTTTAGCCTTTCTTGAGCCACATACCCCTTTAGCAATCCAGCAATGCCTACGGACCCCTCCTCAAGAATATTTATTATTTATTTATATTTTGAAACAAGGTCTCACTCTGTTGCCCAGGCTAGAGTGCACTGGTGTGATCTTGGCTCAATGCATCCTCTGCCTACTGGGCTCAAGCGATCCTCCCACCTCAGCCTCCGGAGTAGCTGGGACCACAGGTATGTGCCACCACTCCTGGCTAATTTTTCTTTTTGGTACAGACAGAGTTTCGCCATGTTGCCCAAGTTGGTCTCAAACTCCTGGCCTCAAGTGACCCATCTGCCTCAGCCTCTCAAATTGCTGGAATTACAGGAATTAGTCTGGCCAAGAATACTTATAAATTCATAAAATAAATACATAAGAAATTATATTGAAAGTTATCAAAATTTAAAACCAAATGTGCAATATAGTAATATGTCGTTCTTTATTAATACATTAAATATTAAGATCTAGTGGTAAATCTAATTACTAGCTTAATTTCAAAATGTAAATTATTTCCTTTTTTTTTTTTTTTGAGACGCTTACAAGCGTGCGCCACCATGCCCGGTTAATTTTTTGTATTTTTAACAGAAACAGGGTTTCACCATGTTAGCCAGAATGGTCTCAAACTCCTGACCTTAGCTGATCCTCCCGTTTCAGCCTCCCAAAGTGCTGGGATTACAGGCATGAGCCAATACGCCCGGCCAACAGATTTTCAAGGTACCAGCAATAACTGTAGTGTAGTAGGAAAATTTCTGCTAATACTATCATGAATTGTTGCTAACATTCATAATCACAGGAAACACTAAATTTCAGTTAGGGTGAGTGAAAATAAAATTATGCTTTTCTCCCCTCTTATCCCCACCCTGACCCCATCCAAATGAAAATGATTCCCCTTTAAAATTTTCAAAAGTAGAGAGAAAAAAGTTTTATGTTACAAACTGAAGGAGGGAGGTTAGATAAGAAAGGATGGAAAAGATGACCATGAGATGTATTAGCATCCTCCTTCTGAAACTGGGCTGGGTGAGATGCCTCTGGTCTTAGATGCAGGTCCAAGGCGCAAGGTAGACAGGTGGGGGCAGGGGTGGGAGCAGTTGCTCTGCTCTCTCAGGAGTCCACACGCAAGAGGGAGCTAGATCTCAGCTTGGTCATCTCAAATCCCAAGGTATCATTGTGCCAGGCATTATTCGCCACCCCCAACCTTCTCTGCTTCCCTGACTCCACATTCTCAGTTCTCAGCATGACCTCCTCTTCCCACCCCTAAAATGGCTTTGAAGCTAACAGTGCATTGACTTCTGTTCTGAAGACCAGGTTCTCAGTAACTGGAAGGCACAGAGCAGCCCATCTCTGGGGCTCTTCTTGCCGCTCAGTCCCAAGACTTTCCACAAGGATGGAACTGTAGCTTTTGTCTTCTCAGTCCAGAGTCTGGGCTTCCTGAAGGAAATTCCACAAGAAAAATAAAGTGCAGTGCAGATTCTGGTCTCTCAAAACCTTCTCTAAGGGTGTGGACTGGGAGACAGGTCCAGGTCATATAGAAGAGCAAGTCTGGCTTCAGCGTTCTCTGGGAGTCTCCCTTCTGTCCCCAAGGCTATTTCTGGTCTTCAGGGGGGTAGGGTACTTATCTCCCACACACTGGGGATGTCCCAGTGGACAGACTGATTTTGAGACACAAAGTGAACTTGAAGCCATGTTTTGGAATGAAAATTCCCAGTGGATTTATCACACCTCTCCAAGGGTTGGCAGCTATAAGGCCTGGCTCAGGGCTTCTACCCGCTTCTACCTCTTCAGTAACCAGTTCTACCAAATCTGCACGCAGGCTGAAAAAAATCAGCACTGATAGTGGAAAGACAGCCAAGAGAAATTCCTCCAGCTCCAGGTCTCCAAGCTGTCAGGCACCAGGACCCCCCTCCCCCAACTTCTGAGAGTCAAGAGCTGCACAACCTGGTGGCTTGCAAGATGTCAGCCGCTTCTTAAAGCACCCCAAATATAAAATCTCAATAGCGGCTCCTTTTCCCCAGTACCGCAGTCCCCATGCCCCACCTAGACAGAAATAATGGAACTTGCAGCATTTTGCAATCCCGAGCTGCACAGCCCAGAACCGGGTTTCCCAACCTGTAGAGGCCGCACCCGCGTCTCCTGGGCGGGCAGTGCCGGTAATCCCCAACAAGCCCCAGCGTGTTTGGAATTAACGGGTCTGACTGTGCCCAGAGAAAGGACCTCCATCTCAGGGCCCCTCCCCATACAGGCACCTGCCCTCCAGGGCTGCGCGACCCGCCCCCAATCCCGGGTTCTGGAATCCAGCCAAACCTCCGCGTTCCCCAAACCACTAGTTCCCTCCTTCCTGGAACCCCACAGCTTCAGTTCTGGACCCCACACCACACGGTGGAGCGGCGGGGAGGCCCCGCCTAAGGAGGGGGAGGGGGAGGAGAAGCAAATAAACACAGGAAAACACGCAGCGGGAGGGGGAGCGCCCGAGGGTGCGCAGCAAGGAAAGCGTGAGTACAAGGGGATCTCTCTTGTCAGGGGCCTCAGGTGCGGCCCGGGGGCCAGAGCCCTGCGCCGCGCGGTGGACTCAGGCCCAGCTCTTCCCCGTGCACTCCCCAGCCCTGTAACCACCCCGAGCACCCTCCACAGCGCCCACCTTCCTCGCCGCCCCCTCACCTGAAACCACCAGCGCCTCGTTGGGCCCCACCGTGTGGCAGTTGCCCATGGCGCCGGCGGCACTGAGGGCCCTCGGGACCGCACAGACCCGAAGAGCAGCAGCGGGTCCGCAGCGCCGGCCGCGCCCAGCCTATCCCGCCACCCCCAGCGGCCGGCCGCCCGCTCGCCCGCGCCCCTCTGTGGTCGCAGCCCCGCCGGAAGTGTGGCGGCGGAGGGCGGGGCCGGCGCGTTGAGGCAGGAGCTAGCGTAGCCTCGGCGGTCAACGCGCTTTTATTCCAAGGGGCTCCAGATACAGATCACCCCAGCCCTGCATCCACCCGGAAGGCGTCCCCCTACTCCCATGGGGCACCTCGATACCAACTGCCCTGCCCTGACTCACTTCTCAGCACCCATCTTAAGGCGGTCGGCCCTGGCCTCAGACCCCTGGGTTCAAATCTCAGGCCCTCCTCCTACTCACTGTGAGACCTTGGGCAAGTCCCTTAGCTCGGGAGCCTTATTCAACCTCATTAATATGGGGGTAATTTAACTACCTAGCTAGACCGTTGCAAAGGGCTCAATTCACTAATTCTCAATGTTGGCAGTGCATCACATTGCAAACTCCCTGCCTCTGCTCCAGAGCTGATCAGAATCAATGAGGGTGGGGCCTGAAAATACTAAATCCAAATTTCCGAGAAGCACAGGGTCTAGCATATTACCCCCTATCTCTCCATCTGGGGTTACTGTCACTTTCAGGAAGAAATAATCACCCATTATTTCTTCAACCAGGAAAAGAGATGTCCAGGGTACAGCTTGGGGCCCCAGAAAGTAACCATGGAGGTCAAGATCATAAACCCATCAGTGTCCAGGGCATGGCCTGGCACACATCCGAGGTTTTCAAGGGCCATGAAGTGCCATGGAAAGCATCCTGGCCTGAGTGGTTAGGAGAGCTGGGTCTCAGGCTCAACTTTAGCCTGAATTCGGTGAGTCATCTTAGACAAATCTGGTGAGCTCTGAGGGCTGGGGTAAGGTTGAGAAATTGTGGGCTCCTCAGGGTGGGTGGTGCTCAGAGAAGATGGGGCCCCTGAGTCCTCAGACTGGGAGTCTTCATCGGGTTCAGCATCCTCCCCAGGCCCAAGCCCTGCCAGCCTCTTGCTGGCCTCCCATAGCCGATGGGCTGCCCGGTCATCTCGGGCAGCTGGAGGCACCTCTTCCACATGGCAGTTGGCAAAATATCTCCCACTGAGGGGCTCAATGCCCTCTTGTAGAGCACAATACAGGGGTGTCTGGGCACCCCCTCTTGGTGCCCGGAGCACCAGCCAAGCCAATGGGCGCAAAAGTGGGCGCAGCCATCCAGGAACATGGCGCAGGAACAGCTCCGAGTTCACAGGCCCTGTAGGCAGGAAGAAAGAAAGGAGTTGGGCTAGGCGCAGTGGTGTGCATTTATAGTCACAGCTACTGCGGAGGTGGAGCAGGAGGATCGCTTCAGTCCAGGAGTTTGAGACCAGCCTGGGCAACATAGTGAAGCTCTGTCTCTTTAAAAAAAAAAAAAAAAAATAGAACAGAGCTAGAAGAATAGGGACAGAATCTGGTTTCAAGGAACCAGGATAGTATTTACCAGGCATTCGGGACTTCTGCGAGGTGACTTCACTCATTTCCTGCATGAAGCCTCTTCCCTTCCATCCAAACTGCTTGTTCACCTCACATCCCAGATTTTGTTCATGCTGTGTCCCATGCCTGAAACAATTCTCAGTCTCTCTCCATCTTTTCTTCTAGCTCAAGTCCTGTTCCTTGTTTAACCAACATTTATTAAGTACTTGCAGTACACCAGCCACTATTTTGGACATTAGGGATATGGAGTGTAATAGAGGCTTAATAAAGGCTAATTGTGATCATCGCTATTATAATTACTAATGAGCTTTAGGCAGTGACTATCTAAAATGCAGTATGGTAATATGAATATGGCAGATCTTGTTATCCTGGTATAACCTCTTGCATAAGACAAAGTGTGCCTCTGGATCCCCAATTATCTCACTCAGAGTAAAAGTCAGAATGCTTATAGTGAACCTCCCTCCAAACCCTACAGGACCCAGTGCCTCTCTGTGACCTCACCTCTTGCCACTCTCCCCCTTCACTCTGTTCCAGCCACATTAGCCTTTCTCAAGCACACTAGGCCTTAGGGCCTCTGCACTTACTTTTTTCTGTTTTGGAGACAGAGTCTCGCTCTGTCACCCAGGCTGGAGTACAGTGGCGAGATCTCAGCTTACTGCAACATCCACCTCCAGGTTCAGGCGATTCTCCTGCCTCAGCCTCCTGAATAGCTGGGACTACGGGTGCCAGACAGCATGTCTAGCTAATTTTTGTATTTGTAGTAGAGACAGGGTTTTTTTTTTTTCTTTTTTTGAGACGGAGTCTTGCTCTGTCCCCCAGGCTGGAGTGCAGTGGCGGTATCACAGCTCACTGCAACCTCCACTTCCTGGATTAAAGTGATTCTCCTGCCTCAGCCTCCTGAGTAGCTGGGATTACAGGCACACGCTACCACGCCTGGCTAATTTTTGTATTTTTAGTAGAAACATGGTTTCACCATGTTGGTCAGGCTGGTCTTGAACTCCTGACCTTGTGATCGCCTGCCTCAGCCTCCCAAAATGCTAGGATTACAGGCGTGAGCCACCACACCTGGCCTAGAGATGCGGTTTCACCATATTGCCCAGGTTGGTCTCAAACTCCTGACCTCAAGTGATCTACCAGCCTCGGCCTCCCAAAGTGCTGGGATTATAGGCATGAGCCACCGCTTCCGGCCCCTTTGCACTTATTATTTGCACTGTTCTCTCTTTTTTTGGGCATCTCCCCAGTGAGCCATGTATCTTTCAGGCTTCTGTTCAAATGTCACCTTTATAGATATGTCTTCCTTGACTGCCACACCATATTCCCATTCCATTTGCCCCTCGCCCTGTTTCCTCTTTCCTCAGAGAACTCTATCACCACCCCTCATTGTATATATTTATTGGCTCTCTCTGTCTCCTCCAAACTAGAATGCAAACTCTATGAGGGCAGGGTCTTTGTTTTGTTCACTGCTATATCCCCAGCACTGCAAATAATGCCTCATACAGAGTAGGTACTCGGTAAATGCTTCTTAGATGAATGAAAAATTATTAGCTATCATCATCATCATTATCAGTTCAGTCAGTGCAGATGGCTCCTGGGGGTGGGAATCCAGGTCTTATTCATGGCCATACACCCTCCAGGGCTCAGCACCCAGGCTTGTGCTGTGAGAAGAAGAACCTAAACCAGGAGAGCCTGGTTCCAAGATCAGCAAGGAACAGGTCTCTCCTTGGACTATGCTTCCTTCCTGCTCTGAGATTCTGTGACTCAATGAGGGATTGGGGGTGGGGAGGTGGTAGTGGTGTGAGGGGCACAGGATGGGGCATGGAAAGGAGAGGGGAATCGGAAGCCGAAGAACCAGACCTCACCTGGGTGTGCTGCATAGCAGGTGATGCCAGTGCCCTCAAGCTGGTTGGCAAGCTCCCGGGCAAACAGTACATTAGCCAGCTTAGTGTCAGCATATGCCCGCAGCTCCTGCCGCCAGCCCACCACTGGGCGGTCCAGGCGTTTGAAGTCGAGACGTCCCCGACAGTGGGCAGCTGAGGCTACCACCACCACGCGGCTAGGGGCACATGCCTTCAGGCAAGGCAGCAGCAGATGTGTCAGCAGAAAGGGACCGATGTGGTTCACCCGAAGCAGCAGGTTAAACGCCTCGCGGGTCCGGCCACAGGAACTGATCCCTGGGGCAGAGGCTAGATGTAAGTGGCTGCTCCAGAAGGAGCTCTGCAGCCTTGGCATCCCTATCTATGAGATGGGAGTAGGGGGCATCCTTCCCATGTGTCCACTGGCCCCAGCAGGGCTGCCGCTGGAGGGGGCAGCTGCCCCTGGCCACCCGCCACCCCCCACCCCACAGGGCCTGCTGCCCCTCACCGGCATTGTGGATGAGGATGTCCAACCGTGGCTCAGAGCTCAGGAAGGCGGTGGCAAAGGCCCGCACGGAGGCCAGATTGGCCAAGTCCAAGGCCATGAAGATGACCTCATTGTTCCCACTCTCCTGTGGAGCGGCAAGGGCTGGGCTTGTCACCAGGCATCTTTCTCCTCTTCCCTCTCTCCCCAGGAACCAAATTCTGAGAGTTCATCTCCTACTGTTTAATAAAATCTGCCCCTACGTCTTAGAGTTTACTAGATAAGTGTGTGGATTCAAATCCTGACTTTGCGTTTTACTAGAGTGTGACCTTGGGCAAGATACTTAATCTCTTTGGGCCTCAGTTCTCTCACTGCATAAAGGGAATAATAATAACAGTACCAATCTCACCCAGCTGTTGTGAGAATGAAAGGAGTTAACATGTGTAAAATACACTCCAGCAGCACTGGGTAGGTACTTGCTATTATTATCACCTCCTTTCCCCATTACCATTTACCCCAAAATCTGTAACAGACTTCTCACTGGTCTCCTCTTGCCCGCTCTTGCCCCTCCACTCCAAGCACCACGCAGCCACAAAGGGGTTCCTTCCAAAGGCTATTCTGACAGTCCGGAGCCTACTGAGGGCCGTTTATGGTCTCCAGTGGTCTGTGCTGCCCAATCTATAAAATCCAAGCTTCTCAATAGGCTCTAGAAGGTCCTCTAGCCCCCTCATTTGCCCATCTTCCTCATACTTTGTGCTTCAGCCTCATTAAATCTTTTTCTCAGTTTTTCAGATCAGTCCAGCTCTCTTGCATCATGGCCTTTGCTTATGCTGTGCCCTCTGCTGTTCCCTTTCCTACTAATCATTAACCCAACTTCTACTGATGCTTAAACGTCTCAGAACTGCAATTACGGCCTTCAGGAAGCCCCTCCCCCACTCGGCTCTGGTGCGCCTTCCTCGGGTGACCCCGGCGCTCCGTGCACTCCCTCTTCGCGCTCAGCCGCCCGCGCCGCACTCTCCTCCCTGGACCCGGATCCTCCGCAGCCCCTTTGCTGGCTTCTCTGTGTCCCGGCAGGTTCTCGGCTCACGGTCCCACGCGCCCCCGCTGCCTCTCACCTGGCGGAGGTCGAAGGCAGCCGCCTCCCCGCGCTCCCGGCTGCGGCAGGCCAGCACCACGCGCGCTCCCCGGCGCGCCAGCTCCAGCGCCGTCATCTTCCCGATGCCGCTGTTAGCGCCTGCGGATCGCAGGCGCGAGCCGAGCTGAGCTGAGCCTGGCGGGCTGCTGCTACCGCCGGCCCGGCCTCCCCTCCGCGCGCCCAGCCAGCTCGCACTCACCCGCCTCCGCACTCACCAGTGACCACGGCCGTGCGGCCCCGCAGGTTGCCGATGCCGCCGCACGGCGGGGCCTTCACCAGGTTGTAGTAGACAAGCACGTAAGCGCCCAGCAGCAACCCCGTGCCCAGCAGCAGCGCCTCCATGCCGGCCGCGCCTCCCGGCTCCCGCCCAGGCCCCGCGCCGGCCTGGATCGCCGCCAGGCGGCTGCCGATCCGCCCCGCACAGGCCTGGAACGGCGCCGGGGCGCGTCAGCCTCCGAAGGCGGAGGCTGGTAGGAGGCTGGGCAGGGGTGTGTGTGCGTGCGGGTGCTCGCCGGCCCTGCGAGCGCCCCCTAGGCGTGCGTCGGCGTCCTGGGGGCGTGTGCCTCCGTGGACACCTTTGAGGTGCGTGTGTGCACTTGGGCCCTGGGAGCGCCCCCTAGGTGTGTGCCTGTGTGAACACCTGGGTGTCAGTGTCCACAGACACCCTGGGAGTGCATGCTAGGTATGTGCATGCATCTACAACGCTTGTATGTGAATGACCTCCAGGTGTGTATGTGCCCATGGTCCCTAGGATCACCCTTCGGGTTGTGTGCGTGCCTCCCGATCCTGTGAGACCATGTAAGCACCTAGTAGGTGTTTGTGTGCATTCCGGCAGAGTCCCTCCAGGTATGTGCCTGCATCTGTAGTCTCTGCCAATGTATGTGCTTTAATATCTACATATGTTTACTCCAGGTGTATGTAGCACAGTCCCTCCCTTCTGAAGTCAGGTGTGTACATGAATACACGTGTGTCTTTGAGTCTAGTCCTAGATGCTTTTCCCTCTAGGAACAAATCCTTTTCTTTCTTCCCTTCCTTCCTTTTTTTTTTTTTTTTTTTTTTTGAGAGGTAGTCTCCCTCTGTTGCTCAGGCTGGAATGCAATGGCGCCCTCTCGGCTCACTGCAACCTCTGCCTACCGGGTTCAAGTGATTCTCCTGCCTCAGCCTTCTGAGTAACTGGGATTACAGGTCCCTGCCACTACACCCGGCTAATTTTTGTATTTTTAGTAGAGAGGGGTTTTTGCCATGTTGGCCAGGCTGGTCTCGAACTCCTGACCTCAGGTGACCCGCCTGCCTCAGCAGCCTCACAAGGTGCTGGGATTATAGGCGTGAGCCACCATGTCCAGTTGTCTTTTTTTTTTTTTTTGTGATGGAGTTTCGCTCTTGTTGCCCAGGCTGGAATGCAGTGGCATGATCTCGGCTCACTGCAACCTCTGCCTCCTGGGTTCAAGCAATTCTTCTGCCTCGGACTCTAGAGTAGCTAGGATTACAGGTGTGTGACACCACACCTGGCTAATTTTTGTATTTTAGTGGAGATGGGTTTTCACTGTGTTGGCCAGGTTGGTCTCAAACTTCTGAACTTGTGACCCTCCTGCCTCAGCCTCTCAAAGTGCTGGGATTACAGGTGTCAGCCTCTGCACTGGGCCAAATCCTTCAATTTTTTATCTTCACATCCAGCCCCCAGCTTCTAGGATTCTTCCCTGTTCTCCCCACACAGGCTAGAGGGGACACTGTTAAAGGTGGCACAGGGCCGGGCGCGGTGGCTCAAGCCTGTAATCCCAGCACTTTGGGAGGCCGAGATGGGCGGATCACGAGGTCAGGAGATCAAGACCATCCTGGCTAACACAGTGAAACCCCGTCTCTACTAAAAAATACAAAAACCTAGCCGGGCGAGGTGGCGGGCGCCCGTAGTCCCAGCTACTCGGGAGGCTGAGGCAGGAGAATGGCGTAAACCCGGGAGACGGAGCTTGCAGTGAGCTGAGGTCCGGCCGCTGCACTCCAGCCTGGGCGGCAGAGCGAGACTCCGTCTCAAAAAAAAATAAATAAATAAAGGTGGCATAGGCAGTTAAGGGGTGTCAGAATTCACTCCTTCATTCCCCCTCTGTATCTCCCTACCTCAGCCCCACTAGTGCCTTCCATGGCTGAAGGGAAGCCGGAAGAGATAGAGAGTAAAATCTATTATTGCCTTTCAGGAGGAAATTTGCCTTTGGAATGGTTCTCACGGATGATAGAGACAGGCAGAGAAGCTCCATCACTCAGTTACAAGTGACCATGATGGCAAGAAGGGTGGGGCCAGCTAGGAACAAATGGGTAAGGGCATTACAGGGCAGAAGGCTGTTGCCTGAGAAATTCAGTACAACCTGGAACCTGATATTTGGTACTTAGGCTGTGCCCAGCAGTGTAGTTAGATTTGGAAATTCTGAGCGGAAGATATTCAAGTTTCTATCCTTAGGCAGTTCAAAAAGCCCATCAGGACATCGGGAGCAGATGAAGCCTAGATGGGGAGATGAAAGTCAGGGACAGACCTCAGATTCCAGGGCCAGTTTCCTATTTAGCTGCACTGAGGATTCGGGTTTTCATTGTAGATGCTGTGGGATGAGGCTGGGGATAGAATATTCATCCTCTATCCCTAAGGCAAAATCCTGACACACAAGCAGATGCACCTACACAAACAGTTCTGGAATATACAGAGGTGCTCTCCATCTGAGGAGGCTGTCCTCAGGAAAACTTCCTGCAGAGTTTTTCACTAAGATCTGGGAGGAAAGCATGAAATTCGGTTTAATGAAGGTTCCTGGGAGTTGAGAATTAAGGTAATGCAGCAGACTCATTTTCTGATGAGGAATAGCAGTTGTAGAGAAGCATGACTGCAGATCACATGACTAGAAGTGACATGTCAAGACTGGATTCCACTATCAGTCAGGGTTCTCTGAAGGAACAGCCCCCGTGGCCAGCAGATGCACCCATGTCCTTCCATTGTCCTCCATCCACCCTGGCTCACTTTTCTCCAACACTTCCCCTCCCAAACTTCCCTATGGGAATGAGACCTGTTCAAAAGGCCCCCCACCTGCTAGACCCAGATCTAAAAGAGGGTCTCCTCTGAGGGTGATGACAGGTAGGACAGACAGTCAGAAAACATAATTTGAAGTATTTTTGTTTTTTATATACAGAATACAGGAAAGTTTCTGTAAAGTCTAAAACATTACAATTACTATGTACATTGGTACTGGTTGTGGGGGTGGGAGGAGAGGAGGGAACCAGGGGCAGGAAGAAGAGGAGAGAAGTGGCAAGAGAACAAAAAAAGGAGACAAAACAGGTTTACGACAAAAACATTTTTGCTACAATAGACAATTTGAGAAAACGCTCTACCACATGTAGTACTGTACACGGTTTTTAAAAACATTGAAAAAATGTTATCACTAGATGTATTTACACAAAATCCAAATACACTTTTCCTTATTTGAAATAAAACAGATGGACAGCCAGAAAAAGAATTCATTTCTCATTTGTCCATAATACACAGTAGCTACCTGTAGTGCAACTGCTGCAGAAAGGGAAAATAACGTGGAGGGTGGGAACCATGGAAGGAAGGTGGGTAGCGATCTTTATATTAAATAAAACAATGATATTGTATAGATTTTGCTGTATGAAAACTGTATTTTTCTTTTAATATAAAACTATTGTCACTGCCACAAAATAGAACAAGTTTCTGATTATTTTACAACGGCGGGCGAGGGGGAGGGAGTAGTAGGTGGGTGGGGAAGGGTTTTGTGTTGGAGGAAATGTCCAGACCATGGGTCTTTCCCTCCCTGCCCACGCTGTTCCTCAGCTCGGGTTTGCCGCTTTCCCATGAAATGTTGAGTACAAATATATGTGCAAATGCCCCCTAGAACTTGAGGAAAGAAAAAGGATTTTTAAAAAACAGTCAAAAGGTTTTCTTCATTTCATGCAAAGATTGTAGTTGAAGCGTTTCTGGTAGAGTATAGAAAACACCCGGGCTTGATTTGTGTACATTTTTGCATTGCAGGAGTCTTGGGTGGGTGTACAGGCCAGTAGCGGGGTAGCTGCCAGTCCTAGGGAACGGAGTTGGAGCGCAGCACAGGGCCCTGGTGGGGCTTGAGAGAGAGCTTCTCGGCCAAGACCCCATCCTGCAGCAGGCTGGCATCGCCTTTGGGCTGTTTGGTCGCAAACTCAGTGATGCTGAAGACAAACTGCAGGCAGCCCAGCTTGATGTAGCTGCCATGGTGCAGTAAGGCCGTGCCCTCCCAGCCGGCCCCACTGCCCCCAATCAAGCTTGAGCTGCTGGCTTTGCAATTGCAGGGTCTCCGCTGCGGCCCTTGGGCCTGGGAACTCATCATGGCTGCCTCCTCACTTGGCTCTTCATCCTGTTTCTGGTGCCGGCGGCGCCCTGGGAAAAAGGGGGATGGTCACAGAAGAGGAACAGTGAGCAGCCAACCCATGTGGGCTGTTTGCCAAGGTTGGGCTCCTGCATCTCCCCATTCCAACTGCTGCATGACTATGGATGAAGGATGCTCAGAAAGGGTTGGTGGAGTCTGAAGTCCCCACAGGTGTGTACACACATGGGGGTACTCAGCACTTGCTTCTCTGTGGCCTGCCCTGGGCCCATGAGGAAGTAGAGCTTGGCCAATAGGACTAGGAAGGCAAGAGAAAAACCATGGGTGGGCAGCAAGTCAGAACCACCCTGACTGCGGCCTCAGCTTTGTGGCCACAGACCTCTGCTCCAACTTACTGATGACACTCTGCACTTTGGCAACAATACTGCTTGGGGGTGTTGGCGGGGTCTTCTCCGAGAAGTCACATGAATACAGCACATTGTCCACCGTTGTCCCATGCTCACTGTAGTTTAACAGCTCATAATGTTTGGTATTCTGAGGAGGAGGAGGGGAGATAAGATGTGTGGTCGGCTGTGTGGGGCCTGGGGCTAGGGGGAGAGGACATATGGAGAAGGCCGTGCTGCTCTACCTAGGGAGCCCTTACTTGCCTCCCCAGTCATGGCCCCTGTCCTTTCAGAAGGGGGCTGCAGATACCTCCTCAGGGAAGCCTTCCTTCCGGTGTCCCACACCCCCTACTCTCCCAATCCTCCTTCACTCTGCCTTCTCAGCACCACTCCTCTTGGTGTGATACTCACTGGCCCGTGATGATAATGAAATTCACAGGGACACATCCACCGGGCTTGGCTTCCTTCTACGCTGGTCCCCTCCCCTGCTTTAGGGTAGGCTCCCTCTGCTGTGCCTGTGACTAACTTCAGGAAAAATGGTAGCCCTGCTCCTGTGAAGCAGGTACCCCTGGTAGGATGCTGTTTCACATCAAGACTGTCCTCCTCCAGGAATGACAGGGAGGGAAGAAAAGGAGAGGACTCCCAATCCCTCTTCCCTCCCCTCAGGGCACTGAACAAAAACCTACTGCCTGGGAGAGGCCTTAGGTTGGGAAAGCTCCCTCCCACCGCATCTCCAGCCCTCACCTCATCGTAGAATATGCAGGCATGTTTCCCGGACACGTAGTTACAGTGACCATAGTTTGTAAGGCACACATCCATGTCAGCTCCTGCAAGATGGCAGGAGTAGAGGAAAAGGAAGGCAGAGAACAGATTGTAAGGTGCATGTGTCGGGGAGGTGAGACAGGGAGGGAGTTAGCTTCTGGGTTGGCACTAGCAGAGACTTCAAGGGTGAGTAGCTCAGGGCCCTCCCCTTTTATTTTTGAACAAAAACTGATGTCTTTTCCAAGCTCCTGATAAAGAACAGCTGTCCCTGCCAGCTGATCTGCTTTAGAACATGTGGCTGCTACCCAGAAGGGAACAGTGAGCTACTGAAGAGGATGGGATATTTCTATGAAAATACAACAAGAGGGTGCAGAGCCTAGAAAATCCTATCACCTTAAAGAAAGGGAAGTTTCTAGGGTAAGGACTAATCTGTCTGTCCTTCTGTACCAGATGTAGAACTATCTGTCTCTAGGACTTCTAGGGAAAACAAAACAAAACAAAAAACAGATACAGGGCTAACTGAAGATTGGGTATGTGTGAGCCTATCACTCTTTCAAAGACCACCAGGGACAAAGCATCTGCCTTCTCCTTGGGTTCTTCCCTGCAGTGTTTAAAGTGCCACCCTGGGCAGTAGTCAGAGCTGACTTTCATCTCTGCTGATGCAACACTGGGCAAAGACAAAGCAAAAGGGCCTGAACAAGGGAAGACAAGGAACTGATCGTCTCTTTTATTTTTGAGACAGGGTCTCACTCTGTTGCCCGGGCTGGAGTGCAGTGGCATGAACAGGATCACTGCCTTGACCTCCCAGGCTCAGGTGATCTTCCCACCTCAGCCTCCCAAGTAGCTGGGACTATAGGCATGTGCCCAGCTAATTTTTTGTATTTGTTTTTGGTAGAGATGGGGTTTCACCATATTGCCCAGGCTGGTCTCGAAGTCCTGGGCTCAAGTGTTCCTCCTGCCTCGTCCTCCCAAAATGCTGGGATTATAGGCGTGAGCCACTGTGACCGGCTGATTGTCTCTATTCTTAGTTTCTCTTGTCTAGCTATCCACTGGTTTAAAGCAGTCAACTCTGGAAAGGGCTTCCCTCACCCCTTTCTAACTTCTGTGGGTAAGGGTATCAGTCTTTAGGGCTGAACAGATTCAGTGTCTCTCCCAGCTTCCTGGCTGGCTCACCTGTCCCGATGTAGAGGGTTCGATAGCACATGTTCACAGCTCCTCCCAACCCTAAGAGGGGGTAGAACACAGCTCGGGCCTGTACCTCCTTTCTTTGCACTACAAGACAAACATAGGAATAGGATCATTCAGAAACTCAGATCCTGTGATCCAAACATAAACCAACAAAATCTGGACTTTTGGCTCATGGCCTGGAGAAAATCCCGCTGGATGACTCATCTTTCCAAACTCACATCCAACACTGAGCTGCTGCAGGGTAGACTTTCTCTCCCCACCCACAGCATTTCCAACACAGGATGCAGAGGACCATCTTTGAAGATAGTCAGAGAAGTCAGAGATGACAGTACTCTGTAAGTTCCTGGGCTCCTGGTTGGCTAATCTGGGATATTCCAGCTGGTACTATAGGGAGAACATGGAAAAACAGACCGCATGGACCAGTGTTTCTCAAACTTTAATGTGCATATGAATTGCCTACATATCTTGTTGAAATGCAGATTCTGATTCAATAGGTCTGAGGAGGGGCCTTAGCTCTGCATTTCTTTTGCTGTTTTCTTTAAAAATAGGCAAAAAACCAATGCACTGAGCTCTGCATTTCTAACAAGCTCTCAGGGGCTGCTGATGCTGCTGGTCTGGGAACCACATTTTGAAGCAGCAAGGCTTTTAATGGCCAGTGCTCAGACATACCTGAAACAGAGTTAACCACTTGGGGAAAATTTCCAGAAGGTTGGCCTACGGTTATTCTATTTCTCACCTTGAACTTGAAAAGTTCCCTCTTGGGAAGCCATTCTCTTAAAAATTTTATTTATTTATTTATTTATTTAGAGACAGGGTCTCACTCTGTCACCCAGACTGGAGTGCAGTGGTACAATCATAGCTCACTGCAGCCTTGACCTCCCAGGCTCAAGCGATTCTCCCACCTTAGCCTTCCAAGCAGCTGGGACCACAGGTGTATGCCACCATGCCTGGCTAAGTTTAAAATTATTTGTAGAGATAGGGTCTCACTGTGTTGCCCAGGCTGGTCTCCAACTCCTGGGCTCAAGTGATCCTCCCGCCTCAGCCTCCCAAAGTGCTGGGATTACAGGTGTGAGCCACTGCACTCAGTTGGAAAGCCCTTCTAATTCAAATATTTGAAAGCAAGTAAGCAGAAAGTACACTACATATACCCAAAGGTACTGGTAGCTGCTTTGCTGTGTCTCGAAGTGGACTTATATATGAAAGAAAGTTACAGCAGACTTCCCCAAGTCTGATAAGAAAGCTGTGGTTGCCATCTTGTTCCTGCTCTCTTCAGAAAAAAACCATGGTGCTTTATTAAGCCCATGAAAAGCACACAAGAAGATTTGAATACTGGAAGCTCAGATTCTCCATGGAGGCAAGGTGACCATTCGCACACGTAGAGGGGAGATCTGATGATGTGGTGACAGGTGTGTACATGCGCACCTTCTGTGTGGTGCCCTCCAGAAGCCAGCTGATGTGTCCCAACACTGCCCGGTGAAGGTTGGACCCGGGAGGGGAAAAGCTGATGTATTCTCTGCAAGGCCAGAAACTTGATCAGCTTCTCGTCCAGCATATTTATCTCGATTTCTATTAGCCAAAGAGAAAGATTAAAAAGCCGCTGAGATGGAAGTGGAATGTGGAAGCAAATCAGGGTCACAGAGCAAATAGTTCGGCATTTCTAAAATCCAGTCAAGTAACCTTTACTCAAACAGCATTGAATACAGAGCATACAAGGATCTGCAGCTGGGCATTTCACTTGCTATTTGCAGTGAGATGGGTCCCAATGCAGCCTGTGCAGCTGCCTCCTGTAGTTGGGTGAATTGATTTTAATAGTGCTCCTAGAACGGCAGAGTGGAATAAACCACTTGCCTGTCTGTGGGGGAGGGCCTGGATGTCTGATATTGAGACTTGAATTTTCTACCCACCTTGTGTTCACAGAGATCAAGATCTGTCCCTGTTCTCCTGGACTTTGGGGGTTTCCCACAGATGAGGTCCCTCCTTTGGGAGTGAGGATCCTAGTTTTATTCTGCAAATCTAGGTGATCTGCCTAAAGTGATTTTGTTCTCATCTCACTGGTTCAGCTTGGCTCTGTCCTCCCTCCATCTTTGATTATGTGTATATGCACATGTAGAAGGCAGAGCTAGAGAAGGAGCTTTCTTTTTCACCCCACCCCCCTATCCAAAAGGATACTCCTCATTCCCATCTCCCCCTAGGCCTCTGGGATCAGGTGCTCCTTCCCTCCCTTTCTGAAATGAGCTGAATGCTGTATAGGAATAGCACCTTCAACATAGCAACCAATGGAACAGCAGCAGCTCATTCACTCACCTCCATTGACATCCATAAATGCTCGAAGTGAGTTGGTGAGGTCCACCATGGCAGTAGAGTTGGCTGGGAAAGAGGGTACGGTTAAAGCGCTTCCTATGGATAACGTGCCGGGGCTGACCTTGCCATCTGGGGACGGAGCAGGAAGACTGTTACTTACGTCGCCTGAGGGAAACCCACCGGTCCAATCCCCCACTGCTGAGACAGGTCTGGATTTCGGACCCAAGGTGATGTTCCCTTCTTGATTCTCAACCCATAGGCTCTGGAACTCCTAGAGCTAAAAACGTGTGGTGAGGAAGGGCAGATGGAATGACAAAGCACCCGGGCACGCAGGAGTCTCCAGAGCACTGGGAATCATTGAAATCCACTGCTCTGGGGAAAGTGGTGGGGCAGCTTCATTCTTTGGGCCATGACCACCTCCCTGCTGCCTCTACTTTTAAATAAGTGGTGCCTGCCCTTATAATTCCTGCCTACTGAAATATGACTCACAGCATGGAAAATCTACCCACACTGGTATTAAGCGATAAACAGAGACAGGAAAACAGCCTGGGAGTGGGGCCATCCTGGGACCAGGGGCCCCCATGCAGAGAAATCACAGTCACCTGGTTACCGAGACTCCCAGCTGACTAGGAGGCCGGCTTCAGTTCAGACGGGAGAGACCACAGGGGGTTCCGGCAGCATCTGAAACCTGGTTCAGATGCCGGGGTCAGCAACCTCAAGGTCCTGAGTGCTGTCTGGGGACAGCTGAGAGAGCAGGTCCACAGTAGGCCAAGTTCAGACCTAAAGGACCGCCCTTTGGCATGTGGCCCGAGGGCAAGCTTCTGGGCTAGACCAACCCCTGTGGGCATCCCACTCTACAGCTCCTCTGAAAGACAGTGCTGCTGTCTATCCCTGCTTCCTGACACGGAAGTCCATCAGATGAACTCTGAGAATATGCATCAAGCATGAATCCATTCTTTTGTGCGGATCTAACAATACTGAGGCCATCACGCAGAACCTCGGGCTGATCACAGTAATTCCAGAGAGCACCCTGCCTTCTTTTAAGGTGACAGAACAAAACAGGCAGGAGCCTAGGCCTGGAAGGTGTGGGATGGAATCAGGAGACCTGGACTGTGGTTCCAATCCTGCCACTGACTCCGTAGGTCAATTTAAGGAAATCACTGAAGCTTTCAAAGTCTAAGCAGTTCCATCTATAAACGGGACAAGTTAACATGTGCTTCCTCTTCTATTACGGAAATGGGAGTAAGACAAACAATACAGAGGCCAAAGTCCTCTGAAGTATTCACAGGGATATAAGTGCTTTTGGAATCTTGTCTTATTTGCCAGAAAGAGCATAAAGTTATTCCAAATCACCCCAAGGCTGAGCAGCACTCACCTGACGATGGCGCTGGTGAGCTGAATCGTTGGTTGGCTCCTGTGGCCAAGATACCATCTCCTGCTGCTTGGGGGGGAGTGAGCACCCGGGTGGCATTTGGGGGTGAGCCCAGTGGCCTTGAATCTGTCAACGGAGGTCCTATCTGTGATTGGACAGTCTTTCTTTGCAAAGTGCTGGTGTTCTCGATGCTGGCACAAGAGCTGGGAATGGAAGGGGGCAGGCTTGGGACAGGAACCAAACTCCTCTGGGGGCAAGAGCTGGGGTCAGTGGCATTCTCTGTCTTCACAATGATGCCGACGGTGTGGTTCTGAAGGCCCCCAGCCGCTGGTGGCGTGAGGGGCCGGGGCCAGCCTTGCCGGTGTGAGAGGCCTGGTAGGGGGGTGTTAGCGCCTGGAAGTCGCCGGGGGTCCGTGGAATCAGTAGGGCTGCTGTAGAGGTGTGGGCCATTAGCTTTCACCTCTGTGTTCACTGGCCCATTGGCAGTCCCACAAGGGGTTTTCTTGGATTTTTCTGCACAAGAATTGCAGCCGATGTCCTCTAGGGCTGGGGGCTGGTGGGGTGGAGAGCAGCTCAAGGAATTCTGGGTGCTAATCCCTGAGGGGCAGGACAAGGGGTAGTGGGAAGGTGTAGGTGTCTTGTCAGCTGTTTGCAAGGAGGTGGTGATTGAGCCGTCAGTCACAATAACAGGCTTAATATCAGCCTTCTCTGTCTGTTCAGAGTCCCAATGCGAAGGCATCTGCTTAGCAGATAAATGTTTCAATATGCTGCACTGGAGCGCAACAACACTACAGAGCCACTGCAATGGAAGGAGAGGAGAGGAGACGGGGGTGAGAGGCCTGAGAGGCGCTGGTCCTTCCTGCCACAGTGGTTAGGGCTGCAGCAGAGCTGATAAGCAGTTTCCAAGGTCCCATTGCAAATGCTCACAAAAGGTGTGCTTGACTCCTCACAGAATTCCATTTCCATTCCCAAGCAAGACTTGTGGGTACCCTCAGCAGGAAACACTCCCTCTGGCCAACAGAGCTTGGGATCTGCATTTTGACTCTGCCTTTAAGGCTTACTTGTGACCAATATTCAGCAAGTACCCTGAGCACCTGTGGTATGTCCAGCACTATCACCTAACCTCTCTATGGGTCTACTCATCTCTTTCTACAGTATAGATTTGACCATCTCACAGTGCACTGGGTTAACAACGGAGAGAAGTAGACCAGTTGCCTTTGTAGATCTCTTACTTGCCTTTGGGATTTGAGTCAGAGGTTCCCCCTGGATTACTCAACTCTTGAGGGATGACGGTGGGTGGGGACTGGAATAAGAATGACACTGAGGCTACTTCCGATAACAGCTGTGGTGACATGGAAGGAAGATCGGGTTTGGAATCCCAGCCCTGCCTTCACTTACCTCTTGCTGCTCTGCTTGGGTGGCTAAGTGCTCAGAGTTCAAAAGGTGCATCTGTGATTCCTCAGGGATCCCATTGCAGATCAGCTCCCCGTCCCGAATGGCCGCAGGTGCAATGAGAGGGGGTGGAAACTGGTACTGAGATTTTATAGCATCGGGAACCTGTTCAGGATAGATAGGAGGAGGAAGGAGAGGGAGATAGTTCCAACATGTCCAGTTGATTCTGCCCTGGTATGCTGTTCTGTCTGTGGTGCTGGTGCTCAAGGGACCATCCACTCTGGGCTCCGCTGAGGAAAAGGAAGCTCAGAAATGGAAATAGCAGGTGGGGCCTCCACTTTTCTTCATCAAGGTCTAAGGCCTGCAGAACACAGAAACCACTGCGTGCTGTCTTCTGCTTCAGCCTGAAAGGTGTAAGACTGGCACTGGACAGGACTTCAGTGTGGTACTCTGGGTTCTTATTGCTCAGTGTCAAGTTTGGGAGTGGGTGAGCAGTCACTGAGACAGAAAAATGCTTGACATGAGGCCTGGCTCATGATAAGCACTCAATCAATGTTAGTTTCCTTCATCCATTCATTCATGACTCATGAAACAACTACAGACGTTTTTGTGCAACAAAAACAGAAGACACACTCTGAATCACACCATGTAAGAATGAAAGAGCCACACAAACAAAGTGTCATTCATACATTCAACCAACATTTATTGAGCACCTCCCGTGTCTAGGCACTCTTCCAAGTTCTAGAGATCCAGAGATGAATAAAACTTAAGACTTGCCCTCAAGAAGCTCACAGTCTAGTGGGGAGATAAACACAGAAATATTATAACACAAGGTAATGGGTTCTAGAATAGAAACATGTCTAAGGTGCTATTAAAAACATAAAGAGTGCTTATTTTAGTTTGGGGGACAGGAATTTGGGATTAGGGACGATTTTATAGGAAGTCAGTATTTGAGTTGACACTTGGAAGTTGAGAAGGATCTTCCAGGCAGATAAAGGAAAAATAAGGGAGGGGGAGAAGCATGTAAGGTATAGAGATGTGATAGCACTTTGTGGATTTGGAAAACATCCAGAGAACCAACAGATTTGGTGACAAAATCCTTATGGTAGACAAGGGAAGAAGAACTGAAAATGGCTCCCAGAATTTGGTCTGAGGGACTGAGTAGTGATCATTGTTTTTTTTTTTTTGAGAGGGAGTCTGGCGCTTTCGCCCAGGCTGGAGTGCAGTGGCCGGATCACAGCTCACTGCAAGCTCCGTCTCCCGGGTTTGTGCCATTCTCCTGCCTCAGCCTCCCTATAGCTGGGACTACAGGCGCCCGCCACCTCACCCGGCTATTTTTTTGTATTTTTTAGTAGAGACGGGGTTTCACTGTATTAGCCAGGATGGTCTCGATCTCCTGACCTCGTGATCCGCCCGTCTCGGCCTCCCAAAGTGCTGGGATTACAGGCTTGAGCCACCGCGCCCGGCGTGATCATTGTTATTTACTTTAATAGGAGACATAGGAGGCAGAGCAGATGTGGAGGCAGAAGACTTTTGGTCTTAGGGAGGTTCATCCTGAGATATCTGTGGGATGGGCAAGCAGATATGAGTCTGGATATAAGGAGAAAGGCATGGAATATGGAGTTGAGAGTCATCACCAAGGGCTGGTGATGGCCTTAGCTGGTGCCATGGGCTTTCTGAGATCACCCAGGAATGAGAGGAAGAGGAATGGAACAGTGGACTAGTCTAAGACTACCCCTGGGGAAGAGTGAAGGGCTAATTGGAAGAGAAATTCACAACCAAGATACAAAGTTCTCAGCAGATTTTTCCTGAATTGCTAGAATCAAGCAGGAGAGAGCTGGGGTTCTTCACCAATGTTCTATGGTGCTACAGTCCTCATTTCATTCTCAAACTGTCCAAGTACAAAATGCTTTGCAGGTAACTCATGCCCTTTGAGTTTCCTCACTCGAGAAACACTTAAAAAGCGGGGAGGGGCACCATACAATGACAGGATTTTTATCAAGGTCTCCTGGACTGTTCACTTCAGCAGCCATGTTCTCTGACAAATCTATACGGTGAATTACACAGTCTGGATTACTTTTAGATCTGTTTCACTAAGATGAGGCATACTACTTTTAATATCATCCATCACCAAAATATTTGAATCTAGTTTTGGAAAATCTGTGTCTCCACTGATGTGTAAATATTTGCCCAGTTAAGTTTGTTATACAGTTTTCAACAGTTAGCATCTTGTTAGGACTGATACCCAATGAAGGTAATGGCAGCGGTGTGACTGATTTTTTTTTTTTTTTTTTGAGACAGAGTTTCACTCTTGTTGTCCAGGCTGGAGTGCAATGGCGTGATCTCGGCTCACTGCAACCTCCACCTCCCAGGTTCTAATGATTCTCCTGCCTCAGTCTCCCAAGTAGCTGGGATTACAGGCACCTGCCACAACGCCCGGCTAATGTTTTGTATTTTTAGTAGAGATGGGGTTTCACCATGCTGGTCAGGTTGGTTTCGAACTCCTGATCTCAGGTGATCCACCCGCCTCGGCCTCCCAAAGTGCTGGGATTACAGGCGTGAGCCACCGCGGGTGATTGATTTTAAAGTGTGGCTGCCACCAAGTGGTCATACTTGAGAAGTGCTGGTTTCTGTTAGCACATAAGACTGTGGGATCATTTCAAAAAAGAAAAACAAGTTTATATACGGGTGTATAGTGTTGGGCCCTCTAGGTTAACTGAATGAGGGGACTGAATGGTTTAAAAACATCCTCACTACCACCAAATGCTTTTCAAGGGAAATTTTTCTGTCAGTCTCTGTAAACACACTTTGGTCAATGTCAAGTGCATATAAATGTTAGGTATTATTACAGCTATGCTACAATTTGGAGTATTGGTGATATATTAACAGCAGCCTGGAAAAACAGATTTAACTTTCCTTTAGATATTTTCCACTTAAGTTCCTGAGCTGGGATTAGCTCTTCACCTTCCACATGGCTCTTTCTGCTTAATCACCCCCACCTTTACCTTGCCTTGTGGACAGAGACCATCCAACAGAAACAGATAGAATGAGTGTTAGGTGAGGGTGGCAGTAACAAAAGAGCACATTTGGGTTTGGTGGGATGGGCTGAAGAGTGCTTATCCTTTTTTTTTTTTTTTTTTTGAGACGGAGTCTTGCACTGTGCCCCAGGCTGGAGTGCAGTGGCGCGATATCGGCTCACTGCAAGCTCCGCCCCCCGGGTTCACGCCATTCTCCTGCCTCAGCCTCCCAAGTAGCTGGGACTACAGGCGCCGCCACCACGCCCGGCTAGTTTTTTGTATTTTTTTTTTTAGTAGAGACGGGGTTTCACTGTGTTAGCCAGGATGGTCTCGATCTCCTGACCTTGTGATCCGCCCGCCTCAGCCTCCCAAAGTGCTGGGATTACAGGCTTGAGCCACCGTGCCCGGCCAAGAGTGCTTATCCTTTGGAAAACTAGACACTGGTAGACTTCGAAGGCTAACTTGAGGTTTGGCCCTCATAATCCTGACCATCATCCCCAAGTATTAAAATGAAGGTCACACTCATTACTCACTAGACACCACAAACACATCTCTGGGTCTTCAGTTTCCCTGCCTGTAAAACCGGGACAGTGATCCTCCGTCTAACCCATGATGGCAGGCAGACTACCATCTTGCCTGTCCCTGATTGTGACTCACCTTCAAGCTTCTTCTTTTGACTGACTGGAGCACACGCCGGTTAGGGGGGTGCTTCTTGTGGATTCGGTTCAGGAAGTCCACTTTGACAACATGCTGCGAAATGGTGTCCTGGAAACGATCAAACACCTGGCACCGATTGCTCAGTGTCATATTCTTCTGGTTCAGCTAGGGACAAAGCAGACACAACCCTGTGGTGAGCCTCAAAAGGCACCTCCTGTCCCAGTTAACCCCATTCCCTGTGTTTAAAAACTAGAAGCCCTTGGCCACATGGGTTCCCTCAATTAGAGACCAGGATGTCGGCACTCTTGTCAGAGAGCAAGGGAACATGGACGAGACTTCCTATTCAGCCCTGCCCAGTCCAGTGGAAGAAAGCCAGTATGTTCCCGCTCCCTAGAGAGCCTTAAGGCAGGCAGGAGAAATCAAGCAAGAAGTGCCCTTCCAAATTCAGCCTCTGACAGTCTTCTGTTCCAGCTCAGAGAAGCCTTTGCAGGGTCCTCCAATAGCAGCACAGGTTTCAGAGGAGACATATGCTTTGACCCTTAAGAGACCCAGTCTCCCTTCCCAGCAAGGGCCTCTCTCACAGGAAAAGCAGGACTGTGTTCTACATAGGAGCTTGGCTGACAACTGGGTCAGAACCAGAACTCTGTGTGCTCTGCTCTATTCCTACTCCACGGTACCAAGGAGCGTAAGTTAACCCATCTTGGTATCAGTCTTCCTCTACTGGAAAGGAAAACCCTGGATTGCTCTTAGAGGCCAAAGGGAGAAAAGAAAGAAGAGTTTCTGCAATAATACACAGAAGGCATACCGAAATTATGCCACTTTTCCTCTTCTACATCTGGGCCCCTATGTTTTAATTCAAAAGAAAGGACCTGTTGTGGCAGCTTCCTAATTCATAAATCAGGAAAAACCTTTAAGTGGCTAGTAAAAATGTAACCAACTAAGAAGTTGTCAGCTGCTAGAAAGCTGCTCTTTAAGTTTCATATTTGGGTAAATTGCTTATGGTCATTTTTTTTTCTGGTTCATCAGGAAGCAAAACAAGACTAGATTTTCCTCCAGAAAAATTTTTGAGTAGCATGAGTCAAAAGAACACAAAGGAACTCTTCTCTTCCACGTGTGCAAATCTTTAACGTGTGCAAATCTTTAACCGAGGTTCCTCTCAGTGTAAGGTCAGCAGCACATTGTCATGAAGGCCAACGGTCATTCCATGGTTATCATCATTTGACAGACAATGTCTTAAGCAGTAGCCCTTTTAATCTGGAAGGTTGCTCTTATGAGGGAGCTCCTCCTCCTCAAATCCTCTCCCATTCAATCTTGTGAGTGACTGTTCTAACTGCCTATAAAAAGATGTCCTAAACTTCTTTTGGAGATAGCAAGTGACAGCTCTGTTCTAGCCTCAGTCTGGAAAATAAACCCAAGACTCTTGGAAGATAAAGCAATAGGAACCTTCACACCATTATTCATTCAACAGCTTATTTACTGAACTTCATTTGGTGCCTGGGACACACGTACCCCAGACAGCCAGCGATTTATTTCCTTAAGGTTGGATCTAATATACTCCCCTTTTAGGGCTATAACATCAACTGCTTAATTCTCTGTAGAAGAAGTCACTTACAAACAGCAAAGCACTAGTGAGTAAAGTCTGTGTGGGTAGCCGAAACAAAACATTGTGAGAAAAAGCATAGCTGAAATATGTCAAATATTTGGTAAATATGTGGTAAACTTGGCACCAAGCTGACCTTAATATGCTTTCTACTAATCAGTCCACACTCCAGCTATGCCTGTTGATGACTGAATGGACACTGCTGTGCTTACCACTACATGTTCGATGTGATTCGGACACATCCATCTGCCGAGGGGCATGGCAGTGAGCGGCGGCTCGAGGCAGTCCATGTGAAACAGGAGAGGGCAATAGTCACACTGGATGAGAGGAGCCACGCGGCAACTCCTGCAAAAAAGAGATGTAGGCCATTTCTGTGGCAAGAAAAGGAAAATTCAAACTAACTCTTGACCTGTGGAACAGCCTCCCCTTCTTAATCCTAACATTCTCCCACATCTTCCTCCAGTGATTCAGTTACACTCATGATTAGAAAGATGGATGGGGCTGGCACGATGGCTCACGCCTGTAATCCCCACACTTTGGGAGGCCGAGGTGGACGGATCGCCTGAGGTCAGGAGATCAAGACTAGCCTGACCAACACGGGAAACCCTGTCTCTACTAAAAATACAAAAAATTAGCCAGGCGTGGTGGTGGGCGCCTGTAATCCCAGCTACTCGGGAGACTGAGGCAGGAGAATCGCTTGAACCCAGGAGGCCAGAGGTTGCAGCAAGCCAAGATGGCACCACTGCGCTCCAGCCTGGGTTACAAAGCGAAACTCTATCTTAAAAAAAAAAAAAAACAAAAAAACAGATGGATGGATTTGGGGGTTCCCATTAGGTTCTCCATTATTCTCTTTTCTAAGAAGAATGTGTCTTGTGGGAAAGTGAATGTTTAGTTGGAGTACAGCTAAAGTGGCTGTCAGAGCAGGGATGATCAATGTCCAGTACTCACTAGGGGAAAACAGTGAACTCTGCTCTGATCTCCCTACTTCTTAAAAGAGAGAGGCTACTTCATTAAAAAATCACTAGCAGCCTTTCTGGAGTCTTAACTATAGCAAGAAAATATTTATCTTCTGTATGAAGCACTCAGCAGAACTGACAATTAGAGGTGTGCTGGAAAGATGATTTTGTAATGTATTCATGTAAGCAAGGTTCAAGGGAGGAGGACTAAGCAAATGACAACTACGATTTGTAACTACAATACTTCTGGGGTCCCCAAGATGCACTGGAGCCACAGTTTGTCCTGGCTCAGAGTTCTGTCACTCTACTATCTAGTTCCCTTCCCCTATAGCTTTTGCTGTGAAATACTTTTTTGATAGTTACGTTCTCTTACTGCTCTGCTCTGACCATAATACAGTACTTCTAACACACCTAAGCCAACAAGTCCAGCTTCAGTAACTGAAACAGCTGGTTTCTGTCAGAGATCCTATTTGAAGGAAACCTGTGTCCCAGACACTACAACTGGGGCAGCCCTAGGGGCTTTTGGAAGTTATCCAGTCCAATATACACTATTATAGATCCTTACACTACTTTTAAACTCATCTTAAGTGATTCAAGTTAATGTTTAGTTTAAGTCCAACTCCTCTTGTTCTAGTGTCTAAACAGTTTTTTTGAGATGGAGTCTTGCTCTGTCACCAGGCTAGAGTGCAGTGGCACGCAACCTCAGCTCACTGCAACCTCCGCCTCCTGGGTTCAAGTGATTCTCCTGCCTCAGCCTCTGGAGTAGCTGGGACTACAGGCGCATGCCACCACGCCCAGCTAATTTTTGTATTTTTAGTAAAGATGGAATTTCACCACATTGGCCCGGATGGTTTTGATCTCCTGACCTCGTGATCTGCCCGCCTCGGCCTCCCAAAGTGCTGGGATTATAGGCGTAAACCACCACGCCAGGCCATTGTTTTTGTTTTTAAAATACAGGGTCTTGCTCTGTTGTCCAGGCTGGAGTGCAGTGGCATGATCACAGTTTAGCCTCCAGGGCTAATCTGCTTAAGCCTCCTGAGTAGCTGGGACTACAGGTGCATATCACCATACCTGGCTCATTAAAAAAATTTTTTTTTTGTAGAGACACGGTTTCACTGTGTTGCCCAGGCTGGTCTCAAGCTCCCAGGTTCAAACAATCTGACTGCCTTGGCCTCCCAAATTGCTGAGATTACAGGCATGAGCCACCGTGCTCGGCCTCAACACAGTTCACAGTACTCCTATACTGTGATTCTTCAGAAAATATGTTGTTAACACATACACATTAAAGGCTCTCATCAATCCATTAGTCAGTCTCTGTTTACTCATACCATCAGAATATGGGCTGTTCCCATTTAACATAACCTGGTCTGGAAGAGGTGATGAGAGAAAAAGTATCATTTGCTAAACATGAGAAAGAGCCCCTTAGTATGAAAGAAAATACCTGTTACACGTGAAGCAGACTTTGACCGGTAAGGGAACGAGACCATTGTGATCTAATTCATGCTGTGTCTTCTTAACATTTTTCCCTGTTGTTTCCTCCTTTCTTCTCCTCTTGCTAGAACCTAGAAAAGAAAGTGATGGTGCTGAGCTATCCCTGGCTTCTGAGTGCCTAGCCTGCAATATGGAAACAACATAAGGGAAAAAACAGATCTTAAGCATGTGCCATGACCTAGGCATGGCTTTCTCTCTAAGGCCCCTGGGGTTGATTTTAAGTTAGAAAAAAGAATGAGAAAGGAAGAAAAAAAAGAGACTAATACATAAGTCAGAATCAGAAGTCATCTGTTCTATGGCAGAAACACATCTAACTGTTTTACAAACAAAATGGTCAGAAATGCTAGATTAGATACTGGCAACCTAAGAAATGTAAATGTCCAAGTCATGTAGTCAACAAGGACTATTCTGTGGAGTTGGCCTGCAACCTTGAACTACTGGGCTCAAGCAACCTTCCTGCCTTAGCCTCCATATTAGCCAGGACTACAAGTGTGGGCCACCAAACTCAGCTAACTTTTTTATTTTTATTTTTTGAGAGACAGGGTCTCATCATGTTGCTCAGACTGGTCTCCAATTCCTGGCCTCAAGTGATCTTCCTGTCTCGATCTCTCAAAGTACCAAGATTACAGGTGTGAGCCACCACACCTGGCCCACATTTTCATAAAAATCAGAGAAGCTTTGATTCCATATGCATTCTTCTTAAGTCTACCAATTTCACTTTGGGAGGAAAAAGTAAGACGTAGAAGCTTTACGGTATCAAGAAGCCAGGACTTAAAAAAAAAAGAAAAAAGAATGGAGGACAATTTGGCAATATCTATCAAAACTATAAATGCATAGTTTTGACCCAGCAATTTTATTGTCCTACAGATATAGTTACACATCTATACATGTATACAATGATGTATTTACAAAGTTATTCACTGAAGCACTACCAGTAGTAACAAAATATTTGGAACCTAAATGTCCATTAATAGAAAATTGGTTAAATAAATTATGACGTATCTGTATAATGAACTACTATGAAACCATTAAAAAAAGTGAGAAGGCCAGGTGCAGTGGCTCATGCCTATAATCCCAGCACTCTGGGAGCCTCTGAGGCAGGAGGATCGTGTGAGCACAGTTCGAGACCAGCCCTGGCAACAGAGTGAGACCCTGTCTCTATAAAATATATAAAAATTAGCTGGGTGTGGTGGTGTGCAACTGTGGTCCCAGCTACTTGGGAGGCTGAGGTGGGAGGATTGCTTGAGCTGTGGTCACACCACTGCACCACAGTGCAGTGCAGCCTGGGTGACAGAGCAAGACTGTTTCAAAAAAAAAAAAAAAAAAAAAAATCTATATTAATATAAAAAGACTTCTAGAAAATATTTTAAAGTGAAAACAACAACAAAAAAAGCAAGGTGTAGAATGGGTTACCTAGTATGTTACTTAAGGGGAAATTAATCAGCATATATCTGTATTTGCTTTTACATGCACAAAGAAATTTGAGAAGAATCAACCAGTGGTTACCTGTGAAGAGCAGGAAGGTGGAAAGTAGGCAAATGGCAGATGGGTGGGAGGGAAATTTTCATTGTAGCCCTTAATATTTTTTGATTTTTGAACCATGTGAATGTATAATATACATCTATCTATCTATCTATCTATCTATCTATCTATCTATCTATCTATATTTTTAAAGATAATTCTGGGGCCGGGTGTGGTGACTCACACCTGTAATCCCAGCACTTTGGGAGGTTGAGGTGGGCGGATCACCTGAGATCAGGAGTTCAAGATCAGCCTGACCAACATGGTGAAATCCCATCTCTATTAAAAATACAAAAATTAGCCAGGCATGGTGGCATGCGCCTGTAGTCCCAGCTACTTGGAAGGCTGAGGCACGAGAATTACTTGAACCTGGGAGGCGGAGGTTGCAGTGAACTGAGATCGCACCACTGCACTCCAGCCTGAGTGACAAAGTGAGACTCTTTCTCCAAAAAAAAAAAAAAGGAAAAAGATAATTCTGGGGGTGGGGCGGTGGGAAAGGAGTTCAGAAACTGAGAAAATGGAAAACTGAGTAAGCTCTGTAATGGCTAAGACCTTCAAAGATCTCTCCAAGCAGAACCAGGAACAGAAACCCAAGACAGTAGCTACATGAACAGTGACTCCACAGGAAGCACTGCTTTCGTGCTGGTCCTTTGGGGAAACTGGGGTTGGGGAGGGATATGATGATGGTTTGGCTGACCTGGTAGTGCAGTGGTACAAGTCAGTTCATTGGGCAACTGAAATTGGGTGGGGTTCCGCTCCATGGCGGCAGCAATCAGCAGCTCAAAGGGCCGCCTCAGCTGGGGCTGCACATAGTCTGGCTCCGCTGCTACTGGTTCCTCATCCACGTCAATGATGTCTTCGTCGACATCATTCTGCTCAGAGGTGGGGGTCTCTGTGCTGGCATTGGATGTGGGCGTGCCAGGCCTGCTGGCTCTCCTTTCCAGGATCCGAGCATGGGCAATGGCCTTTAGTTCAGTTTTGCTGGCCGATCTGTCCAACAAGTCAGTGTCACTGCTGGGGGATGTAGTCCGTTTGCCAGATTTGTCCACCAGTCCATTGACATGACCCAGCTCCTTTTTCTGCTCTCGTTTCTGTGCAAATGAACAGGTGGGCCCATCATGAAAAGTACCATGAAACAAAGAGATGGGTGCTACAAAGTCCTGGTAGACCACTAACCAAAATTGTAAAAGGCCTTCACATATCACAGACTCATCTACCTGGTGACTTGGAACACTGGTCTGTTAAAGTTGACACAACTATAATTGAACTAAAGCTGATAAAACTGTTGCATCAGAGAATCACCAAAAAGCATGGAAAGTTAGGAATAACTATACAAAATATATATCATTAACACTAACTCATCATATGACATACAACATCTATAAAGTATAGGGTAAAGGTCTAAAAAGGTAACACAGTGAGAATAAATTTAGTGAGACTAATAGTAAAAATCAATGGGTCAGGCACGGTGGCTCATGTCTGTAATCCCAGCACTTTGGGAGGCTGAGGCAGGCAGATCACCTGGGGTCAGGAGTTCAAGACCAGCCTGGCCAACATGGTGAAACCCTATCTCTACTAAAAACACAAAAATCATTTGGGTGTGGTGGCACACGCCTGTAATCCCAGCTACTCAGGAGGCTGAGGCAGGAGCATCGCTTGAACCTGGGAGGAAGAGGTTGCAGTGAGCTGAGATTGTACCACTGCACTCCAGCTTGGGCAACAGAGCAAGATTCCATCTCAAAAAAAAAAAAAAAAAAAAAAAATCAATGAGATCACTATACAGCCTCCTGACCTCCTGAATGGTTTTTAAAACTTTGCTCAAAATAAGTGACACTTATTAGAAAGTGGGGAAATGGAAAAAGATTAAGTGTACTCAGTAGGACTGGATATCTATCTGATAGAACATTTTCCTCCAGGACTCCAAATAGAGTAGTCAAATGAAGGTTTAACACTGATCTCCAGGTAGGAGACCTGTGATCTTGTCCTACTTCTGCCACTGATTCCCTCTGACCTTGTGGTGACTCATGCTGGTGGGCAAGAATTTCTTGATCTGTAAAATGAGACAGAAAAATCTTTTTTTTCCTCTCAGGGATATGGTGGAGGGAGATAAAAAGGGTCATATATATGAAAGGGATAATTTGGAGTTGGAGTAGGACCTAGTGCTTCCACTACGAATCATGATAGGACCTGAATGTCAGGAGCTGATGAAGGCCAGAGGATGTATTATTTCAGTTCACTTCAGTGTAAATACAGGAGGCCAAAGGGGAGTAGTGCTGGTGATGGTGGAAAAGGCAGACTTGGCACTGGTAGGCAAAGAGGTCCATGTGAAAGGTAAGAGGCATCTTAGGAGAAGTGCCCTGTTAGAAAAGGGCATCCTATAATCCCCAACAAGTAGCTCTGCTCCTAGAAAACTGATGAAGACGTAACAGAGGTTCGGAATGAGAGAATTTGGTTCAAATACTGGTTCTGTCAATTCCTTTGAGTCCTTGGGAAAGTTACTCTACATTTTTGAGCCTCTGTTTCTTCCTTTCTAAAATGGAAATCTACTGCCAGCATTCAGTATCCATCTATGGCTGGATGGATAGATAATGGGATAACATAATTAAAACACCTGGCATACAAACTAACATAGTATTTCCTTTTCTCCACCCTCTTTACCTCTTTTCCTTCAGCTCCCCTAAACCTTTTCAGGTCCAGCTTTTTTGAGTGGCAAGTTTGAGAGGGCTCTTAGCTGGCAGGTGCCTCTAACTAGCCCTGCTCTTACCTAATTAGGGATGCACAGGAAAGGATCTTGGAAGGTGGAGAGGCTGGAAGATAGCTTGGTTTATGGAGAAATTTAACTACAGCTGTGGTTAGGTGGTTGACTGGGCTTTGGCTTGCTTTTTAATATGAACCCTTATGCACATATTTGAAAAATAATGTCTGCTTGTTTACTTTCTTTCTTAAAGGCTGAAACTGTTACACACATAAACCACAACCTGAATCATCTCATCCTGTTTCTGCAACCAAGGAAGTCATCATTCATTGTGACATCACGTTCAGGGACCAGGCAAATAGAGGTGAGGTCACAACATAGGAAAGTTGCTTGGTGTATAATTAGTGTGGGGAGCACAGGGGGGTGGATTACAATGCACAAATTCTAATCCATAGCCTATAATTTGAGGGTTGGGTCAATCATAATCTGGGTGCAAGCACACCTACTTCCTTTTTTAATAAGGGAGAATATAGCTCTTGTTGCCCACAAGAGTTCTGAAAGTAGAAAATAATAAACCATATTCTTGAAGCCAGTACTAAATTATCAAAGCTGAAGGACGCGAAGCTAAAGAAAGATTAGGCAACTTGGGGTACAAATGGGTTCAAAATCCTCTCTGTCAGTATGACAAGTCTCTGGATACCAGTGACTTATTTGCCTTGGGGTGAGAGAAAACTCCATTTTCCATCAAGCTGGAGAAGCAGCCTTCATTCTTCAGTCATGGATAAGGCTGCCACATTCAGGCCACTTATTAGGAAGTTAACAAGAAGATAAGACTACTCCTGTCACTAGTGACTAAACACGGCTCAGTAAGTTAACACACCTCTTCTGCCCATTTCAGCAGCCCATGTTTGGATTTTTAGGCCCTACTGGATTCCAAACAGTCACCATGGGAAGAGTGGGGTGATTCCAGGGCTGGAAGAGACAAGAAGAAGGGACAAGAATGCCTTCAGGGCTAGGCCGTCTTAGCTCTAGCATATCAGTGCTCTGGATCAGGCTTTCTGGACAGTCTTCAGAAAGCAGCATTATTACCTTTCGGCGAACAGTGCACCGGTGACACATCCACTCTCCAGGAGGCAACATTTCTTCACTCAGTGGAGGGTTACTGTGGGGAACAGACAAGGGCAAGACTAAGTAACTAGCCCTTTGAGGCAGTAGGAAAAGCCTAGCTAGGTTTGCATGTTCCTAAACTCCTATTGTGGCCAGTTCTGCAGGACTGCTAGGGTTGTCTCCTCCTTCAAAATGCCTAAGTCAGCATCACTCATAATAACCTAAGGAGTGAGCATCCCTTCCCACGCCTTAGAGACAGAAGCCAAATCCAGAGCTATTAACACTGGGTTTGTAGGGAAAGTATAATAAAATACCTGAGAGGTCCTCCACACTGTTTTCTTAAAGCCTGTTAGTATAGGGCCAAGCTTTTCTAGCTGCTGTTCACAGCCCTGTCACATGGTCCCATTCCATCTTCCCAGACCCCTTCAGGTGCTCTTCCCACTAATCAAATGGAAGACTCCCTATTTCTTCCTCTAGAATACCCTTCCTTTAGAAAGCTATGCCTGTCAAAACTCTATTCATCCTTTCATATCTGCCTCAATCAGCTGTGATGGATTAAAGACAGCTGCAAATTATTTGCTCTGCCTCCCATCCACAGGTAGTCCCTTTCCCTCCTCTTGAATTGTGCTTGTCTTATGACTTGCTTTGATCACAGAATGCAGCAGAGGTGACAATGCTGCAACTTCCAAAGCTGGGCCTTAAGAGATCTGCAGATTCTACTTTTTAAAAAATATGCTTGGAAAGTTCCATCTTAGAGCCCTGCTGTCATGCTATGAGAGAGGACATGGAGGAGACAAGGTATTCCAATCAACAGTTTTAGGTCGGGCGCAGTGACTCACACTTGGAATCCCAGCACTTTGGGAGGCTGAGGCTGGTGGATCACTTGAGGTTAGGAGTTCAAGATCAGCCTGGCCAACATGGCAAAACCCCATCTCTACTAAAAATATAAAAATTAGTCAGGTATGGTGGCACATGCCTGTAATCCCAGCTATTTGGGAGGCTGAGGCAGAAGAATTGCTTGAACCTGGGAGGTGGAGGTTACAGTGAGCCAAGATCGCACCACTGCACTCTTAGCCTGGGCAACAGAGCGAAACTCCATCTTGAGAAAACAAAAACCAAAAAAACAGCTTCAGCTGAACTCCAAGCCAACACACAGCAGCAACTACTGCTATGTGAGTGAGTCATGGTATGTGACATACCAGTTCAGTGAAGCGTCCAAATGACTGCAGTCCCAGCCAACATCATGTGAAACAGAAAAACCACCCAGCAGAGCCCAGGCAACCCTCATAACTGTGAGAGATAATAACGAGTTTCTATACCAGGCCACTGAGTTTTGGTGTTGTTTGTTATGTGACAATAGATAACCAAACAGCTTTTCCATGAGTTCATATTACTCCTGTATCTTGGACCTCTTGCTGCATGGTTTAGTTCTCTTTTGGCACTTCTCATGCTTTGCCCATTTCAGTAGTTCTCTTATTTATTTTATTAGAGGGACTAGGACAATGATTGGATCTCTTCCCTCCTTGTATCTTTATAATATAGAGGTTGTGCACACAGCAGATCACCTGAAATCGGAAGTTCGAGACCAGTCTGGCTAACATGGTGAAACCCCATCTCTACTAAAAATACAAAAATTAGCTGGGCATGGTGGTGGGCACCTGTAATCCCAGCTACTTGGGAGGCTGAGGTAGGAGAATCCTTTGAACGCAGGAGGCGGAAGTTGCAGTAAGCTGAGATTACATCATTGCATTCCAGCCTGGGCAACAAGAGCGAAACTCTATCTCAAAATAAACAAACAAACAAACAAACCACCAAAAAACAGTCCAGGCATGATGGCTTAAGCCTGTAATCCCAGCACTTTGGGAGGCCGAGGCAGGTGGAACATGAGGTCAGGAGTTTGAGAACAGCCTGGCCAACATGGTGAAATCCTGTCTCTACTAATAATACAAAAATTAGCTGGGCGTGGTGGTGGGCACCTGTAGTCCCAGCTACTCAGGAGGCTGAGGCAGGAGAATGGCGTGAACCCAGGAGGCGGAGCTTGCAGTGAGCTGAGATTGTGTCTCTGCACTCCAGTCTGGGTGACAGAGCGAGACTCCGTCCCGCCTCCCAAAAAAAAAAAAAAAAAAAAAAAAAAAGAAATTCCTATCTTTGATGCCGGGCGCAGTGTTGATGCCGGGCGCAGTGGCTCACGCCTGTAACCCCAGCACTTTAGGAGGTGGAGGCGGGTGGATCACCTGAGGTCGAGAGTTCGAGACCAGCCTGACCAACATGGAGAAACCCCATCTCTACTAAAAATACAAAATTAGCTGGGCATGGTGGCACACACCTGTAATCCCAGCTACTCAGGAGGCTGAGGCAGGAGAACCACTTGAACTGAGGAGGCGGAGGTTACGCTGAGCCGAGATCATGCCATTACACTCCAGCCTGGGCAACAAGAGTGAAACTCTGTCTCAAGAAAAAAAAAAAAGAAATTCTTATCTTTGGGTTCTTTGTTAAGTAACCTACTTGGAATGGTATGCAGGAAATTTTTCTTTGAAGAATGGGAGAAATAGTAAAAAAAAAACCCAAAAAACAAAAAACAAAAAAACCAAACTTGATTTTTTTTACTATACAAGGACTCTCCATATTTTCTCAGCACTTAAAGTTATGCTGTTTTACCATTTCTACATAAAATAGCACTTGACTTGGCAAATTTTCTTAGCTCCCTGTTTCCCCAGAGCCCTAAGCATACACGTCAGATGCCCATCAAGGCTTCACAGCTCATTACTTCCCTTGCTTCCTGTTTCCTTAGTGAAATCTCAGGAGGATGCTTACCAGGAATCAAGAAACTGGAAAAACAATGGCCTGCTAGGACAGGTCTCCAAGCCCTAGAGGATCACAGGTGAATGTCACCTGTAAGTCTCCGCTCATTCTCACCAATGTAATTCTGCAAAAGGCCATATCTAAACTACTGAAATGCATACAAGTAATTTTCAAAGGCCTACAGACTCTGCTATGCTTCAGTAGCTGTCCTATCAAAATTAACCCTGAAGGGTGTCACTTCTGATTCTGTTTCTCATCACTTCTGTTCATCTGTCCACTGGCTTTGTACCAAGATATCCTACATCAAACATTTAAAGTAGAGAAGAGTAAGGTAAGGTGGAATGGGCTTAGATCTTTCACCAAGACGTGAATGGTCTCTCGGCCACCCTTCAGGCTTTCCTCAATCTATTCTCAACCTTGCTGGCAGAATGATTATCCAAGACACAATTCTCATCATATCACTCTCCTGATTTAAAAGCCCTTCAATGATGCCCCTCCCCGACCCATTACAAGATAAAGTTCAAGCTCCTCAGTATTGAAGATAAGACCCCTGTGGCCAGAACCCTCTTCTTTCTCCAGCTCGATCAGTTGGCCGGCTCCCTACACAGCCCATACTGTTTCTCATCTGTTGTCTCTGCTTACTCCAGGGCTACTACCCACAACTACATCACTCTTCCCCAACCGCTTCACCTGGTAAACTCTTTATCTTTTGAGACTCAAGTCAGGTATTCTTTCCAGAAAGCTTTCTCTGAAAGTCTCTGGTTCGCCGGAGTACTTCTGCACCACGCTGTATTCAAACTATTACATGTCTGAATCCCCTTCTCCATGCCTCATTTGCCTTTGTACCTCCACACCCTGTACAATGCCTGGCATGTAGTAGGTACTCAATAAAGCTTTAAAGACTGGGGAACACTAAAGAATGAGCTTCTAGGAAGTGAGTGTAATCCTTCAAAGCTATGAGTCAAGGTAATGCAACTGGGCAGGCATCTGTTTTGTTGGTTAAGTCACACATGAAATTACTTATGTTTTCTAAGTTACCAACCAATGACATGAAACAGGAGTCCAAGTCCATACTGGCAAACCTGAACTTATTGAACCATCCCACCTCTACTCATTTTAATCTTCTTTAAACAATTTGATTTTTAATCTCGTTTATCTTAACACAGGGGTAAAATGCTTAAAACTTGTATTAAGAGGCTCTCAGAAGTAGCATCTTGCTGGTTTATTTTCTTTTTTCCTTTTTTTGAGACGGAGTTTTGCTCTTGTTTCCCAAGCTGGAGTGCAATGGTGCGATCTCGGCTCACCGCAGGTTCAAGTACTTCTCCTGCCTCAGCTTCCCAATTACAGGCATGCACCACCACGCCTGGTTAATTTTGTATTTTTAGTAGAGATGGGGTTTCTCTATGTTAGTCAGGCTGGTCTCGAACTCCTGACCTCACGTGATCTGCCCGCCTCGGCCTCCCAAAGTGCTGGGATTACAGGCATGAGCCACCATGCCTGGGCATATCTTGCTGGTTTCTAAAGGATCACTTTTAGAGTTACCAAGTTTAAGAACACACCTCTGGCCGGGTGACATGGTGAAACCCCGCCTCTACTAAAAATACAAAAAATTAGCCAGGTGAGGTAGCATGCGCCTCCAGCCCCAGCTACTTGTGAGGCTGAGGTGGGAGGATCACCTGAGCCTGGGAGGTAGAGGCTACAGTGAGCCGTGATCGTGCCACTGCACTCCAGCTTGGGCAATGGAGTGAGACCCTGTCTCAAAAATAACAACAAAAAACAAACAAAGAAAACCACACATTTCTCAGAATTCTAGATAATGACCATAGGCTCCTTAACAAGTCTGCCCTAAAGTATGGATAGGGGCTATGAATTTAGAGAGTAGTCCAGGGAAACCCAAGCATTGTCTCCCAGATGAAGACAAAACATTTAAAAGACTGAGGCCATCCTTCCAAAAAAATTTTTTTTTTGAGATGAAGTCTTGCTCTGTCGCCCAGGCTAGAGTGCAGTGGTGTGATCTCAGCTCACAGCAAGCTCCGCCTCCCAGGTTCACACCATTCTCCAGCCTCAGCCTCCCAAGTAGCTGGGATTATAGGCGCCCGCCACCATGCCCGGATAATTTTATTTATTTATTTATTTTTATTTTTAGTAGAGATGGGGTTTTACTATGTCAGCCATGATGGTCTTGATCTCCTGACCTTGTGATCTGCCCGCCTGGGCCTCCTAAAGTGCTGGGATTACAGGTGTGAGCCACCA